CAACACAGTTGATTAAAAAAAAATTATATTGGTTTTAAGATGAGCTCCTACATGGCTGGGTGATGCATGTGAAGTGATGTTTTGTATATTGTGATTTTGAAATCACAATTGAAAAACGGATTGTTTTTGTCTTCCAATTGCTCTAACTCGCATGATTACTTTCTTGGAAAAATTACATGGCTTAAAAAGACTGTTTCAAATAAATAAGATCTCGTGGAGATAACCGCTATCTTTTTTAAACGGTAACCTTTTTTCGCGAACTTTAAACGCCTCATGAAATGGAAACCATGCAAGTACTGTGAGGAACGAGTAGGCGGGAGTTGGCTAATACGCGTGCAATCAGTCAGTTTGAATGCCTTTTCGCAGTGTGAAGTCAAATTGAAATTACATGTATAGAAACGAATAGAATTCGTTGCTTTTTATTTTCGTCTTGATTTCAAGTAAATACATAAACTAAGATGATTCAAAATGAAATCGTGGACTGTTAGCGGGTCAGTGGTTTGACGACATCGCAGCCTTTCATTTCTTTAAATCCTGTATTTAGGTGTATTAATGACTAGTTGGAAAGGCTGAAGAGTAGATGATATCTTGGGCATAAAACAGAAATCTGGGCAATTTTCTTATAATTTTTCCAACGTGTTTGAATAATATTACATTTATATGCTAATAATGGTTCGGAACGAATCAGTGAACTGATTTGTTTAATTTTTGATAAAAGAAATGGAAATTGCATACTTTGTTTTGAAAACGAAATTTAAATTTTACTTGTTCTAAGAATCTCGTTGGACGATGAATTAGTAAATCTCTTCATTTAGCAAGGTTATTTGGCATCCTCTCGTTCCAAAAGTATTTCCTCTACGGTTAATGATCTCATTAACATACTATTTTTCAATGGAGCATTTTGGATCAAGCCGGGTCACTGCTGAAATTCGAATTTTGATGTCAGAGTTTGACGCTGGTTTAGTTACTAAAGCTAAGAGGAAATTTTAATAATGACCTGTCTTCAAAAATGTCAGATTTGTGAGCTTATGACAATGAACTTTGTTTGTATATGCGATGCTTCTTATCAGACAACGAACTCAGTTTCGGATCCATACAGTTATGACTTTGATTGCCTACGATATCTCCGATAAAGTCTCTCAAAAGGTGCAGGATGCGGTCGACAAAGAGCGGTACGTTGACAAAATGGCCCTTGAAGATCAAGTAAGCACTTTAACTATTGGAACACCTTCATCACTGCACTGTCTTACAGTTGTTGATGGCATAGTTAATTTATATGGTTATTGCGCTTAGAGAACTTGTCGTTTTTCGAAATCTACCGCGATGTATATCTCGCAACATCTACTAATAAGGTCTAGTAGCCAAGAAAAATGATAATAACAATTGCAATAATCAGATGGTTTGAATCGCAGGCGACAACATAATCATTTCCCTATACTCTTGACTTTTGATATTGGAGGAGATGTCGTTGCGTACGTAATGAAACCGACTATGTGAGACCCATTTGAAACTACAGCATCGAGTTTTAAGCGCTTGCTCGAAATGGCTCGTGAGTCCTCAGAGATGCAAGCCAGAATTTTCAGAGGTTTTGACGCTATTTTAATTTTTATATGATATTTGACATTTGATGTTCATCATTTACCGAAATTTCACCAAGCAAAATGAGCGTTTAGTTTTACTTTTTCAAACTTCGGCTAAAATAATTTGATTAAACTTCTTTACAATGCCACTGTATATTTAAAAACATACTTTGATCTCTGATTGTATACTAAAACTAGAAACAGTCATGAAGAACACGTTCACTTTTAATCGCTCGCCTACAAGAGCCGTTAAAACGTAAAAGTGCAATATCGAAGGGGATATTGTTAACATGCCTAAACCATGAAATTCAAACTTTTTCCTATGCAAACAACAGTGCGGAAAGGTGACTTTAAATGAACTTCGAGTTCCGGCCATTCAGGAAATGAAAATTCATTGCTAACGGCTCTTGACTAACCCGTAAAGTAATTAAAAGGTTTAAAATGAAAGGATGATTTTGTAGTTAGTTTTGTTTTGTAGTGATAGTTCTTATCAACTGCTGTCTACTTTTTCTATACCTAAGGAGATGATATATGGTTTTTAAAATGATTTTCAGGTAGCATATTCATTGAAAACATTTCTTTGGTTTTTGGCAAGTTTTGATTCCCTTCCATGTCAAACATAAAGTGGTGATAAAAATTCTTAAATAACGCGCTACAGAAGCCGTACCTAGTCAATGTAGTTTTGCCATTTAGCCTGGCGATAGATGGATCTAGTAGGGGTCACCCATGGGTGCCTGGAAGGGGTTCCTGAATCGGTATAAAATTGCAAATTGATTATCAAATGACAAAGTAGCTTCTTCAGTTATGCAGTGCTCGATCAAGGTGTGCTAATCTCCTTATGCACAGACGGTTTTCCTAAAATCGTCCGGTGGTCTCGATAGTTCTTGTTTTGGTGACAATTCCGACGATCTATTAAATTATTAGGGGAGCATGCTTAAAAATAGTGTGAAGAAAGTTTAAGTTTAAGGGGTCAACTGGCGCTAATCGCTAATGCAAACCTTCTAATCCAAACATAAAACCACCAACTGTTATTAGACCCCGAAACGGAGCAAAATAAAAAGAATTCGAGTGAAAAGAAACAAAAGCAAATTAGTTGTGAACTAATTGGAAATGCCACCTGCAAGATGTAGATTTTGCCTGCCTAGTTGACTTGCAAACTTCAAGAAAAAAATGAAAGAAAACACTGAGCACTTTAAAGTCCTTGTAAATACTGCATACCTCGAGCATTATTTTCATTCATGGAAAGAGAGAAAGAGAGAGAGAGAGAGTGAATCAAGGAACTTTTACATAATCTATCAATGGTTTAACATGTAAGGCCCTCAATATTGCCATCAATAATTCTGCACGAAACAAGGCAAATAGAAAATTTTGCATTTCAATTTGTTTGTCCATTGTCTCTGGATTATATGAAATGTGAAATCTCCTGAAATGGTAATATTCCCCTCTGTGATTAAGATGAACAAGATTACGTTTTTCTGTGGAGGAGAAAAGGGAAATTAAATTATTACTTTTATACAGGTTTCGATTTTGTCACTTCAAAAGTATCCCTTCTTTCTTTTACGAAGAAGCTTATCTAACTTTGACGAATCCTCTCGGAACATTCCGACTGTTGAATCAGTATTTAATGTAGACTTTTGTCAGATAGGGCCGGAGGCTGTTAATAAAACGGCGATAAATGTTTCCATTTATGAAAAAAAGATCATGTTAGTCTGTCACGACCGTAAGACAGCGAAAGCATATGAACCTCCTGCGACTTTACATACCTCTAAAAGGTCACAAACAACGCGTTTCTACGCAAGTCTATATTTCAACATTATGCACGACTCTTGAAACGTGCGTTAAACAGTATGGCGAAGCCAAACACTGACCCTCACGCGGCTCAGTATTATTCATCGGGGGAAGAAAGTTCAGAGGTTCGATTAATTTCATGTGGGGGGCCTTACGTTTTTACTCCGATCTTCACCGAAACGAATCACATATTTTTTACTCTTTTAAGACCGAACTCAATATATACATTTTTGTGATCTTTTTTTTATTTATTTTTTTCAAAGAGATTTTCTTTCTTCATGCCCACTTCCATGTGTCACGAATTTTTTTGGCGATCTAAGAATAATCATAACCCGCTGTTGGACTATTAACATTTATGACCACTATGCCATGGCGAAATGTTTACGGCTAGTGACTGAATAATTAGAACGGTGTAATAACGCAATTTCAAACAAGTCATCGTCTGCAACTTGAGTTCAAAATATTGCAAGGAAGTTTACGTATAAAACTCGATTTTTTTTCAGTGACAACAGGCTTAAAAGATAAACGCTCGGTCGCAGATGTTCAATATTGTGTTTCAAATATGAGCTCAGCAGCTAAACTTTTTAAAGCCAGTTGCCGTAAATTTAATCCCGCTGAGAAATATTAACTTTAAATTGGAATCAATGACGTGGGCATCATGGTCATCAAAATATGCACAATGAGAGTTTTATTCATCTGTTTGTTCGCATGGTGTACAATCTTTTGTTTCTTCCAAACATAGCCTTTATCTTCCATTTTGTATTATTCAGAGGAGGTTTTCTGTCACCTTGTCTTCCCGAAAGCGATATATCTTCACAAAGAAATAGACATAAAAATATATTTGTATGTAAAGTTATTTCGGGGTGAACAAGGATTTGTTCAATAAAAGCTGTGAGTTAAGTTTAGATATAAACAGTGAAAAAGAGGATATTTCTGTATCACGTAGCCGTGTATTTTTTGTGAGGCACGCATTGACGAAAGGAAAATCGACGCCACTGCTACAGACCTTGTAGTATTAAGGGCTTCAGAAATTCCATTTCCAAGCTTTTCGGGAACAGTGAATTCCCTGAACATGGTATTGAAAGGAAACCCGTTTTGTTTTTGTTTCAACTATTGCAATAATCGAATTATCGTAGGTCTGGTTTATTAAAAACAACCGGGAAAAGACTTGTGTCTATAACAAAAATTAAAATGTTTTCAGATTTGTGGACGAAAACTAAAGTGAGTACGTGCGTGTATGATTGCTACGCTTCTGACGCAGTTTTGTTTTAAGAGATAAGTACATACACACAAAAGAAATTAATGGAACCATTATTTTCTCTTGGTACATAACACCAATGTAGATCATCAAGTATCGGAAACAATACAACCAGTAAAGTCCTTTATGAATGTGTTAGGTTGATCGCAATGCTAACAATCTATGGTTACACGAAATAGAAAGGCTCTACGTAGTCGGCTAATGTATTTACTGCGCTGACAGCGGAGCTCTTTTAAATATTTCAACTATTATGCATAATATACAGTATTTTTGGTCTTCTGCTGTGATCGTTTTTTTTTGTTTATAACCATTATCGCCTAAGAAAAGAAAGCATCACGAGAACAAAGACAAGTCTGAAACGCGAAAGTCTTTTTTTAAAGTGCATCACTTCAGTTCTTGAAAGGTAAAAGTTCGATCAAAAATTTCATCCCGTAAATTTTGCTTAAATTGTTGATGGTAGATTCACGCAATCTATTTTGCCGTTGTTAAAGTTGTCTTTGTTTTACATGAAAATGAGTTTCTAAGAAAATTGAAACGCTAAGACTGAATGCAATCGCCCACGAAAATGTTTTTCTGGGCATTGTTCGCAGCTAATAGCGAGTTTTGTCAAACGATCTGCCTTTTTCGATTCTAAATTGAACCTTAAGCGGAAAGCGATAGCATGAGTTTTTAACAGAAAAAATAAGCTGCCACTTAAGTTTTGATGTCTCTATTGCTGTGATACATTTTGTGTCAGACGTGTCTACATTGGTGAGACAGCCAAAAAAATGATCTTTTATCTAAAGACAAGGATATATAAATACTATAGCACGAGAGTGTTGCTCTACAGAGAATTATAAGGTTAACCATCTTCTTTAAGTGTGTTTCGGGGAATCTCAAGCTGTAAACTGCCATACTCTATCGATTAAAATAAATAGTTCGCCCCGACATATATCTAACTTAAAATAAACAGTCTCCGGAGGATTATTCTGGAAACGGTCATGTTGGCAGCTAGCTTCCTTTCGATCCAAAAGGATTATGCAAAATTTTTAAGACTTCCTCTCCAGATGTCATATTGTTTCCTCTTGGTTGCAGCAATGAAGTGAATCACGGACGGCTGCCAGTTATGGCGAACAAGTCGCTTTTCTTCGTCACCTTTACTTTGCTGTTTTGGACAATCAGATGCAGTTACTCTACTAACACGACCGATCTCTACATCGGGGGATTTTTTGGTGTCAATATCAAAAAAGGCGCTTGGAGTTCAGCCGCCCTTATTCCAATCTTAGAAATGGCACTGGAGCACGTGAATAACGACCCACGCATTTTAGTGGGCTATCAGCTGAAATATGTGTGGAACGATTCCAAGGTATGTAGGGGTAAAAAAGGGACAAAAGTTCGAATGTAAAATATTTACAATCTGGTAAAATTTGGTATAGACTTAATTACCCGTTGAAAATTCAAAAACACTTGGCCATATTATCTCTATGTTATGTCCAGGAGTTTAATTATGAAAGCTGAATAATAAGTTGTGTAGAGCTCAAAAGAAACATATACAATTTAGACTAAAACCGCGGAAAATCGGAGACTGTTTTTTTTTTTCAATTTGATTATTTGCTCATTAATTTTTGTTCAACAAAAAGTGCTTGCAAGTCGTAAAAACGTTTTTCTCATGAAAATTGCGGAAACAAACCTCTCGAAGGGTTCGAAATCTTTCAACCCTAAGGAGAACCAAGAAGTAGACACTTGTTGCGATACGGCACCAATTTTTAATCTCACATTTAACGATTAGCGTAATTTTCGTAGTGTGAGAGTGGATCAGGTATAAGAGCAATGCTGCGAATGATTGACACTCCTCCACACAAGATTGTTTTCCTGGGTCCCGGATGTTCTGTAGCAACAGTACCTGTTGCAGAAGCCGCCCCTTATTGGCAGGCAGTGCAGGTAAATAGTAGTAATGTGTTTTTTTTTCGTTGGCTAATATAACCCGTAGAAAAATTTTCCTTCATTTACCATTATTTAACTTGGAAAGAAAGAGAAATACAGTTCACGCCTCCAAAATATTCACTAAATAACTACTCAACTTTATTAAATTTTTCAATACATATATATTTAATTCTATATCAACCTTTCTTCGTAAATGGAAGAAAGGTGATTAAATAAAATAGGATCTTGAGTTGTATTGAGGATGTGCATTAGCAAACCAGAAATTATTTTAAATTTGTTCTTTTCTCAGATTGGGTACAGCACGTCATCGCCACAATTTTCAGACAAGGAGAAGTTTCCTTTGTACTTTAGAACGAGCACCTCTGAAACAATGGAAAACCCGTCTAGAGTTGCACTTTTAAGACATTTTAAGTGGAAAAAAGTCGGCCTCATAGTACAAAACTTGGATATTTACGTACTGGTGAGATATATGAAGTACCAATATTTCTTTAACTCTTTAATGGACGTTAATACGTAGCCATTTCACAATTTGCAAATAGCTTTAAATAACTAATCCTTCCTTACAACCCACCTATTCATGTTTGCTTATGTTACTGGTACTTTACGTTACGTGTTGCAAAATCACAATCAAGACAGTTATCACACCATAACCCCCATTTTTGCGTGTTCTTCGGTTATTTCCTTCGAAATTAAGCAAAATTTCACATTTGCCCTGGGAGCTTAACTTCTCGGCCAAATTTACATTTTTCAGAAAGTCTCTCAGCCACGGATATTATCAGCCGACGTACCAAGTGCCCGAAGGGCTTTATTCACCAAATGTACAGAATGATAAGAACTACTTATTGATTTTCTTTGTTAAAATTATTCATTGGTGGTTATTTTCATTACTTAACAGACCAAAGAGGCACTTATTCCAATGTTGGAGGAATCAAACATTACCATAATCGCAGCAGAGAGCTTCAAAAATGATCCGTCTTCAGCAGTCAAGTATTTACTCAAGGTAAAATAGAACCGAAATTGTCACGGTTCACGCAGAGCTCAAAGAGCATCTCTCCTTTAAGAAAGGGTTGACGTCGAGGGGTGGAAGGTTGGTATCGCAACAACAAAAGAGGATCCTGTGTCGCATTGTAGGCTTGTTGCTTGCTCTCGCCATGATAATGAATCTAATCTCCCACTCATTAGTTGAATTCATTTTGAGTTTAGGAGAGAGATGCGAGAATCATAATTGGTCTGATGTACGAGGACATGTTCAGGAAAGCTATGTGCACGGTAAGTTACAAACACTAAATTAAATAATTTTCCTTGCTTTTATCACTTTAAAATGCCTCACGTGTTCTTTTGTAATATTTTCAGTAGAAAGCCCTAAATAGGCGCGAAAATCAAAATAAAAAAGGCACCTGACTTAGATTTCAAAACTTCTACCTTAAATGAATCCGTCGCATAACGTACGTTTCACTTTTTTAGCAGTAACATCATTGCCTTTGCTCTGCAGGGGACATCAAAAGATTCTTTTCGAATGCTTTTATTTCATGATTTATTTTTAAAATTTCCAAGGCCTACAAGGAAGAAGTATATGGCAGAAAATACGTGTGGATCATAGTTGGCTGGTACAACGAGGACTGGTGGACAAAAACAGACGTGGAATGCGAAGGGGAACAGATGTTAGAGGCTGCGGGTAGTTTGATAGAAACTCAACCCCTATCTATTAGTGCTTCACAAGAACCCACAATATCAAACAGGGTATGTTGGTTGGAAATGCTTTTGAGTCACAACCACTTATTTTTTTAATTTTTTTTTTTAACAGCTTTATTGACCATTACACATGTTACATACAGCAAATTAAACAGCCAAGAAAAAAAATGAAATATATGTGCAAAGTGATTTAAAGTGATAAGGTCAAAAGGGAAGGTGCGAACGGGACGCGAGGACCCATGCGAGGCACCTCCCATGGTACAAATAATAATTAAAACGCGATCGACCAAAAGACGCCAAATTTAAAAGACGCTAAAAAACTAGGGATAGCAGGGGCAGGATCGTACAATTGACCAGGTACAGGGATAGGATATGTCAAAGTGATTGTGCAAAAGGTGAAACATGTGCTCAGTAACAAAGTTGCGGAAGGAAGCAGTAGTTGAAAAACTGGTAGGGGGTGAAAATTTACAGATATAGTTCCAGAGCTTAACAATACGATTAAAGTAAGAGGCCTGAAAAGTGCTAGTTTTACATACAGGAGTTTTAAGGTTATAAGAATTACTTAGTCTGGTTCGGCCGTGAGAAACAGGAGAAACAAAATCATAAACATTGAGATCTGTAAAACCATTCCGACATTTGTAAAAAAAAAACAAGATCTTTGAGTTCGCGGTCAAATGTCAGAGGAAGAAGTTTCAAAGTTAAAAGTCTGTCTCTGTATGACATCACGCCTACACGTTGTTTGAGTATCCACCTTGTGACCCTCCTTTGAACCCTTTCAATTTGAGTTTTTAATGCACTTAATGATAGATAGGAAGTTAACAGCCAAAACTTCATTAAATCAGATAGCAATATTACTGAAAAAAATGAGTTGAGCATTTTTGCAATTTTTTTTTTGAGAAAAATCAGACCATTACTATAACTGCTTTCGATGTACTTTCCACCGAGTGACGACGTAAACAAAACAAGAACTCCTCAATTTATTCATAAATATCAAAGAAAATTATATATAGCCTAAAAAATGAACCTATAGACCTCAGGGTAAAAACAATATCGTTGAAGTTATCATCAAAACGTTTTAAGCAGAGGCTAATTGTAAGTACTTTCCCTTTATGATGTGTCCCGGCAAAACTGTCTAAGCTTATCAGAGAAAATCCTAAACTAGATAGAAATAAGAGATGTCGTAAGTTTTGAGCTCGATAAAGAAATGAAGAAAGATGTTTTTCGTCTTTTCACGAGCGTGGAACAGAGAACAAACCGAGCTCAAAACTTACCATCTCTCTTATTTCTATTTACAAACATGACGCTATCGACATTGCTGATCCTAGCAGTATGCAGGACGCGTGTCATATGAACTTTGTAATAGACCTCGCTCACCGTGGAGTCTCTGTGGCTCAGTGGTAGAGCATCGGAGCGCGGAATGCGAAGATCTGAGGTTCGATTCCTCATGGGGACTCAGAATTTTTTCTTTGTTCCACGCTCGTGATAAGACGAAAAACATCTTTCTTCGATCTTAAACTATCCAAAGGTTTGTATCTAAGAAAAAAAGTTTCAAATTTCTTTGCTTCTTTCAGACTGCTGCTGAACTGAAAACAGATTACGAGGACAGACTTAAAAAGCTTAACTTCACTTACAACATGTATGCAGCCTTTACGTATGACGCCGCTTGGAGTATTGCCCTTATGTTGAATAAGTCCATTCCTCTGCTTCGAGAAAAGAACAAAACCTTGGAAACGCTGAAATATGGCGATAAAGAAGCAGCTGAGATCATGAGAGATCTTCTGTTCCGTACAGACTTCTGGGGAATGTCGGTACGTACTCTAAGTCCTGCTATCGCTTTATTCCATAAACTATGTTGTTAACATTTAATAATAACCGTATGAGATTGAGAAAAATGTAGCGATTGGCCATAAAACAAAATGGCATTCTCAGCTAACCAAAGTAAAAAGAATTACGAATGCACGATCACTGTTTATAGATCATGCGTAGGGCTCTCGACCGATGAGGCAGAAGAAAAAGATTTACAAAGAACCATAAACGTAGATATTCAAACGGAATCTGAGTTTTTACGTCTGTGTTGCACTCTTATTCCTTCTCAATATTCCCGGTGGAATCTGGATTTTCGTGAAGGGGTTTCGAGAAAATCTCTAGCCGGAGTAAACAAGTTGTGCCTGCTCTCATTCCCATTTAGGAGTTTAGTTCCTTATAAATCAAAATTAATAGGTTTTTAGGAAATTTGCCCAAGGACGATTTGCATAGAAAACATCTCACAACCAGTCTTCTAAACTTCAGAATTGAGTGAGTAGGGAGAAAGGAAATCATTATCAAATAGTTAAGCATTACAATGCAAAAGCTTCCACAATTCTGGCAGGGCCGATTTGCATTACATTACACCTTTCCAGGGTCATGTGACGTTCGACCGAAAGTATGACAGAGAGACGGTGGTGCAAATTTCTCAAAATATACGTAAGTTGGAGAAAAATGATGGCTAATCTACAGCATAATTAATTCAAATAATAAGGACATTTTCATTGAAATAACCTGAGGTTAAACTTTATATCGGACTGGCGTATTTCCAACTAGCTCTTCTCAACTCAGACATTGATTGGGTCATGATTACCTGAGGTCTCAAAGCGATTTGATATGCTGATTCCCAAATTGTGACCTTTTTTTTTAGTCGCCGTCGTTAAAAATTGAAATTGAATTTCTCTTCCCTAAGAAGCCTGTTGGCGGTCGTGATACGCCAAGCTTTAGAAAGCTCTGGACTACGAGAGAAGAGCTCATGATGACGTCGTGAGCTGAAAATTTACTCAAAGCCTCGTTTATTTTACATTTTTTTCGAATGCTTGCCTTATAGCTCACCCGATTACAACTTTCATTTGGATACTCTTTTGGTCTCAGTGTTTTGGGTGAACTCATGAATAAATGGAACTATTTTTGACCTTGAAAGAAACACATGTAGGCGTATTTGGGTATTTTAATGGGAACATGCGTTGCGCTTATTACAAACATTGCCAAAGTTAGACCTTTCTAGATGTTCGATTTTCAGCTGTAGGCCCTCCTTTCTTGCCCGTAGCAAGGTGACGCAGCCGTTGAGCCCGTTCTCCTTGCCAAGTAGTTGGAGGACACAGACTACACAGCCTCTCAAAACGCTCGTTAACGTAGCCACGAATGAGTGCTACAGCGTATTTGAAAATTTCTCGCTTAACTTCAGCGCGCGATAGGGTTGATAAGGAAAAATAAGACTATAAACTGAGATAAATACTAATAATATCTATGTGATGCACAGGGGGAAAAAGGAAAAGTGTTGCCATGTTGGATATCCGTAACGGATCATTAATTCTCCTTAACGACAGTTTTGAATGGGAAGGTAAGTTTACCAAGGAACTATCAGGTATAGCTTGACTATCTAAGAAAATTCAGTCACGAAACCTGTAGATAGACGGTCTTAACAGATCTGGTACAAGTGGCCATTTAATAAGCGCCAAATGTCAAATGGAGAATATTATTTCGTTTCCAAATGTACTCGCTCTATTCGGGAGGTTTTCAAATTGACGGAATAGACTTCTCTCTCCAACTTCTCTCGATAACTGCGCCTTGATAGGTAAATCCTTTTTCATCCAACAGAAGACTGGTCTGCCACATAGCATAAAATTAGCATTAGCTGATGGTCAGCCTTATAAGATGAGAATAGCGATAAGCCTTGTGTATACATATTCATCAGTTTCAGTTAAAAATTATGATCAGATTCCTCCATGGGAAAGAAAAACCCTTAAAAATGTGCCCCAGTCCCAACGTGTGGCTTCGTAACTCAGTTGGTTAAAGCGTCCAGCCTCAGCACGGGTTGGAAACCCGTCCGGGCCTGAACTTTTTCAGGTCTCTTTTCTGCAATTGCTTAAACTGCAGCTCAGTTACGAGTATCATTGCTTGACTTGATTATCATGTTTTTTTTTGTTCAAAGGCGGCCGAATACCAGGAGATGGTGTCACAGTTATCCAAAAAGTGTTCCAAGAAAGACCCGGGACAACGGTGACCTTTTACGTGTTGGCTTGTGCTGGAATACTGTTCTGTTTGCTTTGTTTACTACTTAACTTCGTTTATCGAAAGCATAGGTACTAATGGAAACACGGTATTCTTTGTTATTATTTTTTGTTTGCTTTGATAGTATCCTTGGCATTATGAGTCATGTTTTTAAAACGTTATCTGTTGTTGGTTATCTTTGTCAGGTTCATAAAAATGTCATCTCCAAAGTTCAACAATATCACTGTCGTTGGATGTCTATTGTCATATACTGAAGTGTTTTTATCAGCTTACAGTAACTCTTCATCAGCAGAATACAATACCTCACTATGCTACGTAAGATTACTTCGGTTTTCTTTGTTTTAAAACTTATCAATGCTCATTAACAATTCTTAAAGAGCCTTGTGCTTTTCACTGTCTAGATGTTTGAGGGTAAGCAGTAAAAGGTAAAGTCTGAAAACGGTACCGAGTTTGTTGCAGTTACTTCGCAATAAAACATTCTAAAACTCCTTAATCGATAGTCTGAGAAGAGCTTTACCGCAAAACAAAAGTTACATTGGAAGCTTAACTTCCTCTCCGAATTCACACCAATTTTGAAACTTAATCCAGAAAGCGATACTGTTACAAAATATGACCATGTCCAGCTTTTCATTTTGCACTCCATCATTTCCAGTATGGAAATTTATACATTCTGTTTCGGGCAAAAATGGCTTTAACCGGTAAAAATTAATATACCACGTCATAATTCATTTCTTTAATAGTTCTAAAAATGTTCTTTTACATGTACGTCGCCTTCGATTTCTACTTTCGATTTTCACATTTAATCAATAAGATGAACCTTACTTGATCGTCTCTGTTTAGATAAATGCTTGGCTACTCTCTACTGGTTTCACCCTGGCATTTGGGGGAATCTTTGTCAAGACTTGGAGAGTTTACAAAATATTTACAAACAACCAGATGAAAAGAGAGGTCAGTAAAAATTGCACATTTGAAATGTCTCACCATTATATCTCACCATTTTCTATTCCGTCTAACCAGTTTCGCCCCATCCATTTTCTCAGCAGCAATTCTGATATCCACTTGGGCCCTGCTATGAAAGAATAGCTAACCTATCTCCTCAATTTTGTAATTAATAAACAAGGAAAACCTAATTAACAGCAAGAAAAGCAATTGTAATGCTGATTGTGAAGATGAGAGATCTTAAGAGAGGAACTTTGACCAGGTGGATGGCCTTTGGGTTACCATTTGCGTTTCAATATCGAATAACTGATAATAGGTGAAGAGAAGAGGCACTTGAGATGTCACAACCAGAGTAAATCACAGAGCTCCGGTTTGTTCGCTTCATGAGAACCTCACTTAAATGTAGAACGCCTAGTTAAGTCACATTTTCAATGGTTTTTTTTTCAATCTTATCTTCTCTACAGCTTGGAAAGCTTAGTAACATCAGTCTTTTCTTGAGGTTATGTGCTTGTTGGTTTATAGACGTTATAATTTTGTCAACTTGGGCAGCTATTGATCCACTTACGAAACAACTCAAGATGATCGACGAGGAGGTAGATACGTAATTTTTGCATTTATCTTTCTGTCTATCTCTTTCACAAGAGCATTTTTTTTCTTTTGATCGCTCGTGGAAAGGGCTCTGGTCCATTTATTAATCTAAAGCTTCTACACTTTCTTCCACAGGCTGAAGATAATGACGATGATGTTACGGAGGAGCTGCTGATTCATCAATGCACTTCTAAGTATTACGTGACGTGGATGATGTCGATCTGCGGATTCAAAGGGATTCTATTGATTTTTGGTGTTTTCCTGGCCTGGGAGACAAGAAATGTTACCTATCCTTCACTGAACGACTCCAAGAACATCGGTTTAGCAGTCTACAATGTATTCATGTTTTCGTGCTTAGCTATTGTGACTGAATTCGTGGTGACCTATCCACCTCTTCAAATTTTGGTTGTAAGATGTATCGTCTTCGTTGGGACCACGTCGACAATTTCTTTGTTATTTGTTCCAAAAGTAAGAGTTTGACTTATTTTTTCACAATCCTATTCTCAGTTTGCTTTATCGTAAATTAAGTCTCAGAGTTAAATCTCTTACCATAATGAATCGATTTTATTTGTGAGATGTTGTCTGGGAGATAGAGGGGTTAGCGAACTGTTCAAGAAAAATGCATGAAAACATCTTCATCTACATCAAAAAGAACGATAAATGGTCTTGACTACATCCTGCAAGGAGGAATATGCTCCAATCTTCAGGCGAGGTGGAATCATGCTCGAAATTATCCTCACTGTTGATGCTCTAAAGGGGCATTTTGAATGTAACCCAGGGTGCCTTGAAACAATTAAATCCAAGGTATGATGAAAATTAAATGTGATACCAAATCGATTTGCAGTGACTTGAAACTATTTTGTTTGTTGGGTGTCCAGTGAAAGATTTTGTGTTCTTTTACGGACTGTAAAATGACATCTGGCGATTTTGTATAGGATGTTTTGCAAACACCATCGGCATTCTGAAAATCAAACCCACTAGAGAATTGGGACTGAACAAAGAACGAATATAAGACTGAAAATATATTAAAACGATAGAAAGGCTCTTATCATGCAATTAAATTGTCGTTGTTGTTGTTTTATGTTTTCACAGATTCTACGCTTAGGGAAACAGAATCAGATAGATTCAATGTCTGTCACAGAACCAAGCCGGAGTGAGTTTGAAACACGCGGGGCGACTAATTCTGAAATGCGAATAGAGACGTACAAGAGCAAAAGCTAGATCTCGCGCTAGATCTCGTAGGACTCCTAAAGATCTCCGACGAAGGGAAATCATCAGTGGATGGTTAAAGTGAAATTTTCATGAGCCAAACTTGAAAAGTTGAATTAAGTATATAAAATGTTCGACGTCTAAATGGATCAAGAACGGTTTCTTCATTCAGGAATGGTTCGACAGCTCTTCCCGCCTCACTTGTGTCGAACCAAATTCAAAAATCAATCTAAACTATTTGAAAGAAGTTCTCCAGGATCAATAAAGAGAACAGCTGCGCCGACCGATCAAATTCGATGCTTGAATCAGCAAGTCAAAGCACTTCTTTTCGAGCTTGAGTTGGTCCAAATTCGAATAACCTTCGTCTCATGAAAAGTTCGGCATCCGAACTGAATGTCATTGAGCAAGGCTGAGGATAATTTGAAAATATTTAACAGTTATCTTCGTGTAGTAAGAACAACTGCTCAGACATCACCTCTTCTCAGCTGAAGATAAGACATATGAAACGAAGTTGATAAGCAATTTCGATTTTGATGGTAGAGTTTCAAATGAGCTCTTTCATGAAAATAATCGGGATCTTTCAATTTTAAAGCAGGAAAAATTTCGAGAGCCGCTACCAGACATCACTCCGTCTCTACATCTGACTCTACCCACACTGATGCATTCCTTTTTGCCTAGGGTTGATTTTTCAGTAATTCTCACCATCTCAATTTTTTAATTCTGTACAAGAATTTTCCTAGATGTATAATTTGTATGCACTGTGCAAATTTTACGATAACAACATCATCTTCAACAAAATCATATGAAAATATACAAATCAATAAACATATAACAATTTTTATTATTAAACTCTTATTCTATTGTGAGGCAATTACATCTGAAAGGATGCACGAAGATCACCGCTTGTAGCAAAAAAGATGACATGCAGCTGATTCCACGGCGCATGCACGCAGCAATGAGCTAAATTTGAACAGGATCCTTTGACACAACAAACGTGACTGTTGGGAAATCCTTATTAGTAGCCTCACAACTAAGGTTTTTGGTGACATCCAATATCGTATCCTACAGTTAATCGGAGTAATCATTGGAAATTTATAGATTACAAATTGCAAATGCAAATAGAGATATTTCCCCCATGAACGGCCGCAGCTGCTTCTTTATTTTGTATCGACAATCATCTATTCTATCGCTTGTTTTTTTTTTCAGGCTGATGCTTTTGCTTTTACTTCAGTTTTTAAGAAATAGTTGCTTTGTGAATGAAGAGAACTTACTGATTTTATAACTAACCCTAGTTGATTTAAACTGCCACTAAGATATGTCTTTTTGCTGTAATTGAATTTCTCGTTTATAATTCAGCTAGTATACTTTTCACATTAATCTCAATTCAAGACCAATTTAGCTTGACAACTGAATATAATGACTTTTATGCCGGGCCATGTGACGGCAGATAGCTGAGCTATATTACAAGTAATTTATCGACTAACCAATAGATATGAAATTGACACTTGAAGCTTTACTTACCACGTCTTTACTTCTTTTAATTAAAAACGTTCGGATGAAATTAATTGACCAATCTAAAGGCGACAGTCAGGAGGAACTCAAGAAGAATTTAACAAGTTTGATTGACAGCCTGTCCTGCCTGTTAGACACGTCAAATTTAATTTACCAGTTGAGAGCGTGGGCTAGAGTCCTTATCACCTTGAGCTGTTCATTCAACTTAGAGTGAAATAAATATTGGCAACCACTAAAATTTGCAAAGAAGCGTTGATCTTCATTAAGATAAGTCGGATTTAGTTGACTCCTCACCGCAGTTGAAGAAAAAAATCCTGCCTTCTCATCAATTTGGGTAGTTTGTCCTTTGCTTTTCACAATTATTAGGTGAGTATTGAGTAGTTGGATGTTTTGCCTTCTCGTTCTTCATGTTTTTGTTTTTAGAATTTTACCAAGGTTTTAAGGCTGACATAACACTCTTCCACAATATTCCACAACATCCTCGCGATCTTCAATACGTATCGTTTTCTAGATTCTCTAAAGCTAGCAAAATTTCGCTTCATAAACATCTATACTGCAGATCTAAACCCTTCCGTTTCGAATTGGATCTAAAAGGAAGACCGTAATTACGCAACAAATAACACCGGAATAACCAATACGTAATGTAATAACACTGTTGTTTATCGATACATCCTAAACAAGACTGCTTCAGAATTTGTCATGGAAAGGATGTATTATTACTGTAGTTCAGCAGAAGTACAGTTACCTCAGCGGAAACGTATTTTTCTGAACGTGTTTTCCTGAGCAAGACTGCTTCCCATCGCAATTTGTTACGGAGAGGATTAATTATTGCTGTAGTTTAGAAGTATACAGCTACCTCAGCAGAAACGTGTTTGTCGTGATTTGTATTTCCACTGTTTGTTTAAAGACGCAAAGGTTTGCCCTTTGGCTGTGTCGATTCAGGACCGTTTTTGCGTGAACCGTCGATTTTCTGGTTCCATGTTTAAGTTAGTTACCGGCTCAGAGACAGTTCCAATGAACTACTATTCCCCTCAAAATCATATTAATGGTCGACTTAACAAATTTCGTTAAGAGTTTTCAAATTTGTGCAGACAATTTTTAAACGAAAACAAAGTTTCATCCTTGTTTGATTGTGAATTTGACTATTCCTTCAAATCTTGAGAAAATTTACCAAATAAATGCAGACATAAAATTAATGATGTAGGTAACCCCGCCTCCTATCCACAGTTGGCGATCAAAATTACCAGATAATAATTTTTTCAGGCGCGTGTTATTTGGAGATAATCTATAACTTTATTATGCTAAAGTCCGCCGGATCATCGTTTAACGTGATGTCAAGTTGTTGGAAAATTCATTGTGATGTTTCGTGCGTTACAGATGAAGACAGACAGCACATTCGGAACCAAATAAACCAAAAGGACAAGAACTAATATGACATTCCGAATCAGGCCTTTACACAGTTTCATAAATATAATATTTTATTCCGAAACGCGTTTTCTCGACTTTTAAGTTGCAATGGCTCAACTAGTGTTGTATAGTTCTGATACATTTTACACAAAGCAGGCAAATTCGCAAATTTCAAGCAGGGATTTTCCTTTTATTCTAAGCCTATTCTATTCTATTCTATTCGTTACGTTATATATAACAAAACAGTGAATCCAAGGACCTTTACTAGGTACTTTGGACATGTTTTTCTGCTTAGTTGTTTTCGTGTGAAGACCCAGTGGGAGACATTTTAACTTGCTAATTGACCAATAAGAAGGAAAATGAAGAGTCAGGATCTTATGAAAAAGTATCCAACTTTGAAGCGCGACTGACAGTTTACGGATAAGAAGGTAAAAAGCCATGTAGCCCCGCAAGATGCGAGCTGAAAGAAGAGTCAGATGGGCCAGATAGGAAAATATTTGGCCCTCAGTTAGTTGCTCGCTGAATCAAGAACAGTTTGCGCTAATTCGAGGGGAGTGGGCGAAAAACTCATCAAATCACTCAACACTTGTAATAAGTGCTCTCTCCAGCTAATTCCATCATGCAAAAGCAAGAATTTCAATTGCTAAGTTGGTTTAGAGGCATACATCGTCATTTGTAGTTGTGTCATTTGTAGTTGTTCCAGTTTGCCATTTCAAAGGAAAAAACAACCGTCCTTCTCTCAAGGAAAATTGTCTTCTTTTAACTGTTTCCAAGGAAGTGAAAATCAGGTACTTCTTTCATTTTAATACTTGTATTATTTTCTACAATTTTTAAGCGTTAAAAACGAATGATTTGACATTATATTTACCCAAAATCTTTGTTCCAATCAAAGTATTTTGACCTTACAAAGACTTCGACAACACTGACTCCTGCTTATTTTCTTCCATCAAAATCGATCCTAGAAGCTTCAAATCCCTTAGGCTAAATCGCAGGAAAATCTTTTTGATAAGACAAACAAACGAAAGTAAATATGGTTGACATAAATATTCAGTTTTAGTGATGATTCATTGCTAAGGCTGGTTGAAACAGGGAAAAGAAGGTTATTCTGGAGAAATCTAAACTTCGCTAATTCTCGGACGTGTCAAAATTCTGAGCTTTTTCTTCTCTGTGTGAAAGCAAGCTGTTTTTAGGGTGAGCCGCTCGTCGCTCAGTGTAGTTATGGTTTCGTGACATGTAGAACGGGGATTAATGCATATCCGGCTTATCGCATCAGAAACTTTTCCATTTTCAGAACTAGTAGATACTAAAAACCAAGTTACATTAAGTATTAATTCCTTTTTAAAAATTTTTAAACAATTAGGGGAAATCAAGGAAACTCAGAACTTTTAGGCCGAAACGTGAGCTTGAAATGGTTGCACGTAGATATGTAAATATTCATCATTGAAAGATGCCAAATTCAAGCATCAAAGCTGCCTATTTCATTTCGAGTATTTCCTCAATTGTGTCGTCTTTGTTACCAAAATTTGGGATGATGATAGTTAGGCTGGTCTTCATTTGCCAAAACAATAACAATTTTTTTAATTAGAAATATAGTTGGTGAGTCCTGCCTGCCATGTCCGTTGGCAAAAACACTTTGGATGCTATTTTTAGCCTACACTTTGCCGTCATTTTATAAAGATAAAAGTATATATGCAATGGATGTTTTCGAAGAGAGGCACATGTCAGTTCGTAAATAATAGGAGCGAACACTTGTTAGCAGTTTCTCTTTTATATGAAACGTTCGAAAGTTTTAACTCCTCAAGAAGCAATTAAGCTGTGTGGAAACTCATATTTGCCATGCTTTGAAAATAAGTGAAATTTACGCAGAAGCTACTCATCAGTGAATTAAAGTTAAAGGCAACATTTTGAAAAAATGTTTAAACTGACCTAGGAGTACCAGCTGACCGAGTTGTCTTCTCTTCCGGGTGCAAGAGTTCCTGAACAATTCATCTTCGGTAGTAGCAACTGATATTTTGACATCCTGAGCGGAAATCATTATCAGAAGCAAATAATGACTTCTGCTCAGGGTGTAAAACTGTCAGTCATTGGCCTTGGAACAATTTCAAATTTTTTCAGGACTTTTTCTTTTCTTCTTAATAGTCAGACCACAAGATGAAAAGTGAGACTATCTCTCCGTTAAATACGAAATGAAAAATAGCCTGAGAGAGTCTTCGGATTAACCACATTTATTTTATGACATCTAGGATGTAAATGCACCAGTGAGATTTCAAATAATATAGAAGTAATTCGTACAGTCTACAAGTAATTTAGGGTAAAGCGGAGTGTACTTGGACAAATTTTTAGTTTTTCGCGGTAGCAAAATTAGTCACGACACGATAGAACCTCGACCATATATCCTTCAACAGGAAGTAAGGAAAATTTTGGCCTGTATTCTCGATCATAATTGTCATTTTGAAAACTAAACAACCAGAATAATAAGTAAATTGTAAATTCAAACACGACAGACGACGGAAGACTTTAACATGCTATTCTAAGCTTCAAATCAAAGCAGGAAGTCGCAAACCAAATGGCCATGGTTATGGAGAGCATAAGGTGAGCATTACATGTAAATATCAATTATTATGACTCACAAATTTAATGCAATGTTTGCGCTTGCCACTTGCACGTGCCTTAATGTAGCTTTTAAAACGAAAAAAACTCATGATTCCTCCTGTCTAATTTCCAAATAAAAATCCGTTTGAGAGCGGACTTTATGGCCTGCTACAATATTGTGGGTAAGTTATGTTTAGGAACAAAAATGAACATTTGTCGAGATCTAATTAATCTTTTTATAATTTTTATCGTTTGTATATGATTGTTAAAGGGTGAAAAATATGCTCACAGTTGTATTTATGCTTCTTAAAAATGAAGCCCAGTATTTCTGGATTGATTAAAAAAGGTTTGTGCGCTTCGGGAGTCGATGAAAGTAATATTACAAATGAACGAAGAAAACTTCAACAAACCAATTGTCTCAAACCCGAAAGTAGATGACGTTAACTAAGGAAGCGATACTGTCATAAAAAAAAAAAAAATTTTTTTCACCAGCAAAAAGTTTCCAATAATTTTCTTTTAACGTGGATCGTTGAATGCTGTACTGTACGGGGGCTTTGGTTGGTGGTATGTAATTCGTAAATAAAAAGGGAATCTACCATAATTATTCATTACACATAATGCACGTTAGGGAAACAAAAACTCGACACGATTAAGATATGGTTATTGCTACAAATTGTGCTTCAGTTTCTTTCCAAAATCTCCTTTGCTAGATATATTCCAATTGTTTGAGGAAAACACATACTGAGAGAAAATTGGCCATACTTGTGTGGGGGAACAATGATAGCTTATAACAAGAAGGAGACATAATTACAACTTTACCCTTGTAGTTCCGTGTTGTTGACATTATTTTGATTAGCACAAAGTGTATAACTCTTTATTATTTTTCCTTTTTTATTTGGAATGAGAGGGAGATGGTCAGTGTAAAAACATAGGCCAAAAAAATCAATTCTGTTTGAATTTTAGGCGAAGACAAACTGATCCTCACTTGATATTTATCCGTATTGATTAGAGTTTCAAACCCACACATTGACAGGAGGATGATTGAATTGCATAAGCCAATCACAAATAGGTAAACCTTATGTAAGTCAAAAACAACTCGAGGTCATTTTTATGAAACGAAACCATCGTCATAGCAGCATTGAATATGAAAGATATAACGTTTTCAAGGACTTGCTACCCGATTCTTGTGATTCAGCGAAACAAAACAAACATTAGGCTGTTTGAACTGTTTTCAGAGTCTTAACAATCGCGAAAGAGAGAGATTTTACCTCTTAAAGAGTATGAGAACTCAACACCTCAAGTAATTACCACCTAGAATTGACAAATATTCACCGAATCATTACAGAAGGAAAAAGCAGGTGATAGTAAGGTTTAATGTTATACTTAAAATCAAGTACCTACATAGAAGAAACAGATCAATAATATTTACCCTAAGAAAATGAGCCACCATAGTGCTTTGTCAGACAATGTTATTTGTGAAAAACGCTGCACACAGTCTTTGAAAAACTGATGCACGATTATAACATCAATTTGATTTTCATTTGTTTTGTGCGAAAACCTCTCTCAGGGTTACAGTTTTAAGAAGCTTAATCTTGATATCTGCCAACAAAGAAGCACAGAAAATCAACACACAGAATTGTCTTTAAAGTCACAGAGGTGGATATTTGCATCAACCCTCGGTTGGCTTAAGCGTGTTTTGAACCAACCAATCTCGTCTTTCTAGTTCTGTTGGACCATTTTTCAAGTGATCCCATCGTCAAGAGCAAGAATGAATGAAAATGTTTGAGTAGCCATTAAGTATTCAAAGTAAGGGTATAAACAAAGCCTTCTAGGGATTTATAATAGCTGAGTTATTAGTGCGAGTTACATCTATAAATTTTAGTTTTTTTTTTTTTTTTTGAGAATGGTCTTCAAGTTATCTCCGCTATTTTCCCGTGTTTCTGACGCCAATAAGAATTTGTTTAGATTAAATCTTATTCGAGCATCCCTATCGTCAAAGTGAGAAGAAAAACATCTTATCTGACTGGAGAGTCCGCTGAAAAAAATTAACAGAGCCAAAACTCATAGGAGATTGCTTTTGTCTGGATAAGCCCACCCGTGTACAGCGGTCATTATGACTAGTTTATCGTACGGTCAGGGCCACTGAATATGCATATTGCCTTAGTGTGACAAAAACTGAAACTGACCCTGTGGGTAATTTCTAATTTAGTTCCACTATATAAAATAAACCTCCACATATGAGAATTAATTCAAATAAACCTTTACACATAATACTTTCATATTGTTTGGACACCGAATCAATCATGTTTGATACTACAAAAGTCTCCTTTAATCGAATACACATGAAAAAGTAGACATAGATTACTTTAAATTCGTCGAAACATTTTTAATGAAAAAAGGATATCACCACCGGTGCACACAAGTGTAACGATTTAGCGTGAGTTTGTTTATTTGACAATAGCTTTTCTTCAGAACATGGACTTAAAATTTGGACTGGCTTTGGATTCGATGTCGCGCATATGAAACCGAATTTAAATCTGCGGTAAAAATTATTTGGACATTTTTCAGAATTTAAATAATGCGTTCGAATAAGAGTTCAAGGTCTTATGCCTTTAATATATTAAATCTGTGTAAAAAAACAATGATCTAAGAAAACTAATTTCGACTATAGTCTTGAAATTTCGACTGTTAAACAAATGTTCACAAAACAAATTTTCATAAGATGTAAAGTCCATTAGTTGTGTGTGTTTAAGCCATATTCCGAGAGAACTTTCTTGCAGATAATTCTATAAGTCTGGGTATTTTGCCAATAGCAATAAACAATTAAAATATTGTGTTCTGTCTGCAGCTGTCAAAATTATTAAAAACTCTCTATCACACTTGAGCATTTGAATAGGCTTCGTATTAATGGGATATCTCCGAAACCATTTCTCAAATAATCAAGCCTCGCTTTCCAAAAGGTGAGTGCCTTCAAAATCATATTCAAAGTGGTCTTGTTCTTGCTCATTCAAAGACAGAACTAAATTCTTGCTTGTTAATGTAGCTGTGGGAGAGAAAACACTGAAAATTTGTCGTGCTGTGTATCCTACACAATCAACAATAAGCTGTCTCTACACGTCATGTCTCGCACGCTATACGAGACATCATGATGGCGAAAATTTTCTTTTCCACTGATGCAAAAATATCATCATCTTATTGGCCCTGGCCATGCCGTATTCTTCTGTACTAACAGTTTTTGGAGAGAGTAGTTCGATGAAAAGATAAAGTCACGAGTTAAATAAAGGGCGACTCATATTCGTACAAAATACAAAATACATCATGGATATTCAGTTTGATTTCTCTTTATATGATAGTGCCTATTTTCTTTTCGCAAAATCTGGTGTTTTCGGACATAAACAGTACTCGTACTGATTATTTATCGGCAAAATGAAAAATGCTTTTAGGATTTATCAGATGGGGTGTTATAATAATCTCAAATAACAAAAATATTCTTAAAAATTCATTTATGATACAGGTCACGAATAATGAAAATCTCTGAAAGCATGCCTTATGTGATTGTTCACCAGTTGTTGCAAATCCAAAAGCGTATGTTTCAGAAGAAATTATTTCAAGAACCGGTCAGTTTTGTGAGAGAAACCCGATTGAACCGAAGCTAGTTTATTTCTAGGCATTAAGAGCATAATTATGTGCAAATGTCATTGTGAATGTCAGCTTTTGCAAAGTCCTCAGCGACAAGATTAAATATTTATTCGCCAAGAAATGTATGATATAATCCCACCATTTGATTGTTAACTTTCTTTTATGTGCAATATCATTGCAACACAAGTCAAAATACATCAGACTTCAACTGTATTTTCTTATCAAAACCGCCCGACCGGAATTCCCGTCGGAAAATTTTTTTTGGCCACTCACCTTTGGTGCCCGAGAGAGCCTCGACGTCATTCTACTGATGCCACGATAAGCCTTTCACTTTTCAAAGCTTCTGCCTGGTTTAGGAAAAATTAAATAACAAAAGGCTCTCCACTAGGGGCGTGTTTAATGGAAGGTTGCGTTAAAAAGGTTGAAAAATAGGAATTTTTTTTACAAAATATCACGGTAAATTATCGAGACCTGATGTCTTTCTTTTTACTTTCCTATGAATTAGATCAATTTGGAGGAGACAACAGTATATCAGGATTTTAAAAAGTTAATGATCAAAAGGATTCAGTGAAACACTGAGGCTGAATTTGACTGAACGAAACGCAGCTTTGAGTCACACTCGCAAACACATCTGCAACCGCGGAACTAAACCATCAACTGCTTTCTGGTAAGTAAACTTACTTTACTATGACGATTAATGATATTATTTTAGAAAACGCTCTACTAAGCTTTTAATTGAACGCTTTTATAAGATTGTCTATAACCTCCTGGCGGACTATCGATAAAAATTTTAACTTTGAGTGCGGATGGTATATTTGATGCGTGAGCGAAGAACACGAGTCTGAGCGGGGTGAAGGTCGTACCCTAAGGAGACAGGCAACGTCTCTCTTACTCCATAAATATTGGTCGCATATTCAATTGAAAATAAACGATATCAATTGAAGAAATTGACAATCTACGTCAAATAAATTTTTATTTGAATTTTAAGCACTTTGGCAAAGTGATAAGCGCCATATTATAATTTCTTCTCTGCCGTTGCAACACGAAACTGTCTAAAGGTATATGTAGCATGTTTAGAGTGAAGATATCTTTTTTAAAACCATGACATATAATGCTAATTGAACTGAGTGGAGTGCAATTTTGGTCTGAAATCATACGAGTGATTTAAAAAAACGAACGGGCGCGCAGCGTGAGTTTGATTTGAAATCACATGTACGATTTCAGATCGACCAAAACTGCTTAGCACTAAGTTCAATTATCACTTTATTGCATCCATTTTTAAACTGCAAAATTCAGTCGCTTAAATACAGGATTTTTTTGTCTGTACAAATGTTTTACTGATCTAGTACTGAGCTGTGCAAAAGCTGTCTTTTATCTTCCTCTAATTTGATTGGTTTCTTTAAACAAGCCTTGAGATTTGATTGGTTGTTGTGTTTTGGTAGTGTTCCTCATTGGCTGGGAAAAAGATGCGATTTAGAGCAAAAAATCATACGATTCGTGAATAAATCGCAACGATGAGAGCCAATCAGATTGCAAGGATCACCAGAGATTTCAAAATGGATTTAATAAATCTTGTTGTTGTTTTCATTATTTATGGTTCAAAAGGTTCATCAAACACTTTCAGTCGAATATTTTTCGGAAAGTAACTTCCAATTAAACTTTATAAGATTCCTCTTTTCAGGTTAACTCACTTTAATGCGCCTCGGAGCCTTAAAATATTTCATTTTTAGTAATACCGCAAATTGCCGCTAATGACGTTTCGACGCTCAATAGAAAACCCTTTGTGATCAGCACTTTTACATCTTGTTTCGAAGCACTCTTTCCATTCTGGTTATAAGCCCTCTCGGATGTACACCCTTCCATATATAAGCTTTCCTAAAACCCCTTACGAAGTTGTATAAGCCTAGGGCTTTTCAGAGGAAATTTAGGGTATTTCAATCACACCATATGGGCACCTGTCACCGCTAATTTACACTGTTACGCGAAGGTCGGCAGTGGACAGATAATTTTCTTTTCTCTTCTTGAGGAGAAGAATTAAGTCCGAGGATTGGCATTATTATGTTTCTTTCGACGGATTTTCAATCAAAACGAGAAAAACTGCACGAGTCATTTTCTGGGAAGCCGGGGCTGGTGAGTTCCATGTCCACCAGCAAATAATTCTCATAAAGCCTTGTTTACATCACGAGCTCGCCCGCCTCACATCAGAAAGTAACTTTTTGCGCAGGAAGACGGGCTGAATTTATTAATGATTTTTCTGAAGTTCTCCAAGTACTTATTGGAGATCATGAAAGTAACATAATGGAACATTTCCGAATTACAAAAACCGTTCGTGTCAAAAGCAGACAGTGCAAATCATTTTTTTTGATAATGAGTTTTGTCTTCAATAATCAAAAATTTATGTTCGTGTTTAAAGTTATTACTACTGTTTCAAAACAGAGACTGGACACACGTCTGAAAAGGCCGATAAGATTAAGCGTGGGACGGTCTCCGTCTTTTTAGCTTTGGCATTCTTTCATTGCGTTGATTTAACGCGTAAATTTCAAAAACCTCTCTGTAATTCAGATGTGCATAAGATATTCATGAAATTTTTCCATGACTGCAGCTCTGCGTTACTGTTTCAAAGAAACCGAATACCATGTCCAGCGGATTTTTTCACGTCACCTGCTTACTCTACTGCATCGTCCTGACTTCTTTTACCAAATGTGACAACACTACGTCCAAAATCCCCTTATACATTGGTGGATTTTTCGGGGTAAACATTCAAGAAGGGGCTTGGAGCACAGCTGAAGTCATTCCATCTCTAGAAATGGCACTGGAGCATGTGAACAACGACCCAAGCATTTTGGTGGACTATCAGCTGAAATATGTGTGGAATGATTCTAAGGTTTGTTCAGCGTATATGACTAGTACAAAATTTAAAAATACAGTTAATATTTATCTGTTATTTTCTTGCTTCCATTGCTTAAGTGTGAAAGTGGATCCGGTATCAAAGCTATGCTTACGATGATCGACACTCCACCACACAAGATTGTTTTCCTGGGTCCCGGATGTTCTGTAGCAACAGTACCTGTTGCAGAAGCCGCTCCGTATTGGCAGGCAGTGCAGGTAAATTTCACAGTATGTGGGGTTTTTATAATGACTACGCTCAGTCTGAAGCCCGTGATTCTATTCTCTTTGGAGATTTTCAATCTCGTGGGCCTTTGGTATATTGCTTCAGCTTGCAATTTCCTTTTTAAAATTTGTCAATTTCGTCTCTGTCAGTTGTTTGACGGCAAATGACTTACAGGGATCACTTTGCCATTTGTAATCAACCAAAGGTCAAAATATTATGAATTTTACTTATTTGTGAGCTTGTAATTTAATATCATCGATAATTTGCAGTGATAGCTTTGTGATATTATTTTGTTTACTTGAACGATAAGAACTGTATGTCGTAGATAAGATTATTTTGCTACAGTTTAATGGCTTGCTTGACCTCATTGCATAACTACGTGCGTCAATTTACTCTCAGTTGCAGGTTCTTTGATTCGTTTTTCCGCATTTTTATGACATCGACGAAAAGAAATACTGTCTTTTCACTCTTCTTAGATTGGATACAGTACATCGTCGCCACAGTTCTCAGACAAGGAAAAGTTCCCTCTGTACTTTCGAACTAGTACCTCAGAAACAATGGAAAACCCGACCAGAGTAGCACTTTTAGAGCAATTCAATTGGAAAAAGGTCGCCCTACTTGTGCAAAACTTGGATATTTTTGTATGGGTAAGAGGCTCAATACTGCTAATAAGGCAGTTATTATAGTATATATAGAAAAATAGTTTCTTTAAAGGCACTACATGAATCAGATGAACTAAATCAAGAAATACAATCAATGGACTCTGATTTCAGACAACAAAAGCAGTAACAACGACAAAATATTCCAACGAAGAGGCCATAAAAAGAAGAGAATGTTAAATACCGATGGTTTGATTTTCTTTGTTATCATTTCTATACCAATAGACAAAAGAAGACCTCATTCCATTGTTAAACAAGTCGAACATCTCCATCATTGCAACAGAAAGCTTCAAATATGATCCATCCTCATCGGTCAAGTACTTAATCAAGGTTAGATACGCACCATCCATTCAAAGTTCATAGCGCTGAGCCTAGTGTGCATTAAGTGTGTTTTCGTGGATTACCAGATCTTGCTGGTGTAACAGAGAGACAAAACGGAAAAGACCCCTGGCTGATATGATAGATACTACTATAACAGCCATTACAATAGCCGAATGTGTACAATTGAGCGTCAAATAATTATCCGAGGTTGCGTTGCTTTTCTATGAGGATAAGGAGGGTTTCTTATTCCGAATTTTAAAAGTAATTAACGCGTCATGCAAATAAAGGTTTCAGGGAAATCTTGAGGTTTTCACGAGTCACGTCTATTTTCGGAGAAAATCACGCCTCACGCTGGTTCTTAAATTCACGAATCACGCTCGCCTTTCTGTAAAAAAGTTTGGTCTTAACCACGTGTCAAGTACAAACCTTTTAGCCACCCTCTTGTTTTACTTCGCTTGTGATTGGTCTAGTAAGCTGGCGCCACTTTCTCAACCAACCATAAACTAAACTAAAAGTAATCACCGTTTGGTTACCCATGTTTTTCTACGTTCCAGTCAGTTTGCTTTAACCAACTTAAGCTCTTTGTGGCTTCTTATAAAGTATTTCTTTATTGTGATTGGCCCCCGATAACTTTGGTGTTGGTTTACTTTTCTAGATTGAAATCTCTGTGGCCTATTTTTACCGCCAGATTTCTTTTTCTTGGTCCTCCTTGGAAATTTGCCTTCTCTTTAGATCAATAATAAGGGAAGAAACAAAACACTGTTTGAATAAAATTGAAATTGAAGTTCTAATGAGCGTGAGAATGAGATTTTAACTCTTCGCCCAAGAGTATCATTTGGCATTTCGCTGACAAGCGGATGTTTGTGTATGTTAGTGAAGTACCTCAAAAATTCTTTCTTACAAGGATAAAGATGCAAGGATTATCATTGGACTGATGTACGAGGACATGTTCAGAAAAGCTATGTGCGCTGTGAGTGTACTGACAAATTATAACCAACAATTAAGAGAAATGAAAAAAAGGGGGTAAGTTTCTAAAGAAACTGCGGTGCTGCGTCGGTGGGCGAGTGTAACAAGGTAATTTTGTATTATCAACTGAGTTGATAACGTAAATTGGCCACCATTAGGAGTTTCAAATCTGACGTTCCGAACGTCAGCCCTTAGTTAGAGCTCGAGACGTAAGCTGTAGAAACCCTCTAAGATGGCCAATTAACATTATCTTCTCAGTTGATAAAACCAACTCTTATTGGCCATAACAAGGTAATTACGCTGTTACACTCCCTCGATGCGTGGTCAGATAAAATTTTCAATCACAGTTTCCTTGAAAAACTCCCTTAATAGCCATGAATATTAAGAGTTTTTTACTGGAAACCTCCTGCTTAAAATATGTCGTTTTTAATTCTCTATGGCGGACAGTTTTATATCAAACTAATAATTGTATGTAGCTGGTAATCTTCACCGACTCTGGGTTTTACATTGCAAATTCAAAGTATGACGGGAGGCACTGAACACCTTTAACTGATATCCTGCTATAATCTCTATTCCTAACAGGCCTACAAAGATGGACTCTTTGGAAAGAAGTATGTTTGGATAATAGTTGGATGGTACTTGGAAGACTGGTGGACAAAAACAACAGAAATGGGCATGGATTGCAGGGGAGAACAGCTCTTGGAGGCTGCAGCTAATTTGATTGAGACTTTTCCTCTTCAACTGAGTAGATCAACAAGACCCACGATATCGAATAGGGTAAGGTTCTAGTCGGTATTAATCGCCGGGGGTGGGGTTACATGATTTTCAGGGGGGACGGAGTGGAGATTAGTCGTTGCCCACAGAAAATAATATTACTCAACTCTCCCCTGAACAGGATGGCGGTCCCTCGCAAGGTTACCCCCTGTAGTTTATCAGTCTTCCCCGACTATGCACCAATATCCGTAAGCCAGCGCACTAATGATTAGTCCACCCACCCTCTCGTATAGTTTAAACCGGAATAGTCTCAAAAGGTAAAGACCAAGTTACTGCCTGAGCTTTTACAGAGCATATGTAAAAATCGTTTTGCTCTTCTTTACCATCCCTTTTCAGACTGCACAGCAGTTGCAAGCTGAATATGATGAAAGACGACGGCGCCTCAACTACACTTATCACATGTACGCAGGCTTCACGTATGATGCAGCATGGAGCATCGCTGTTATGTTGAACAAATCCATACCTCGGTTACGAGCAAAAAATAAAACACTGGAAACCGTCAAATATGGTGATAAAGAAGTAGCTGAGATCATGACGGATATTTTGTTCCGTACAGACTTCTGGGGAATGTCAGTATGTAAAGTAGTCATTGTTTAAGCCTCAATAACACTTCACTTTTTTATGGATTTTCCTTTTCAATTTGTCGAATATACGAGAACTTAAAGAAAAAAAACAGAACAAAAGATTCGAAATGTCTCAATGAAATTCGCATACCAAAGTGAGAGGGTCGCCGGTTAGTTCGATGCCTGAAAAAGACTCCTTTTTTTGTTTACCTCAAAAAAATTGGCAAAATGGTAGAAGAAAAAGGATAAGGAAAAGGAAACTTCCAAGCCTTAAACGCGGGTTCCCTCTCTGATGGCAAACTTCATATCATTGTCACTAGCAAATCCGGTTTAAGACAAATATAATTCTGACAACTGCCCTTATTCTTAGACCGATATACTACAGCTCTTACGACAAAAACCTTGTCCTGCAATTCTTTCAGGGTCGCGTGAAGTTTGATGAAGATGGAAACAGAGACACTCTTGTAGAAATTTTTCAAAATAAACGTAAGTGAAAAATTATTGTATATTAAAAAACTTTCGCGATAAATAAGTAGAAGTAAGTACATTTCATTAGGAGTAAAATGAAACAGATTTATCCTCTATTGCCCTGAGAGCTGCCACTGAAATAAGAAGTGATTGATTTTTAAGTTTTGCTGGCGAAAGAAAACTTGGAAGAAATTGTGCAAAAGTATACCTGTAGAAGGGATTTACAAATCCCTGAATTAGGATTGCGGTCAACGTGGTAGAGTAGCACTGCATTGCATTATAGTTACATCAGTATGATGGCTGATGTTTTGACCGGCAACTCTGTTTTCTTGATGGAAGTATTGTTTTTTTCTTTCATTTCAGGTGGTAAAAAGAAAATTGTGGCCACTGTGGATTCCCTTGGTAGGAATCTGAGTCAATACAAAGATAAGTTTGAGTGGGAAGGTAAGATCGAATTTGATGGTATGGCAAAATTGCACGACCGAAATCATGGGTTTTTACCGACATATTAATTTCCAGCCACCATACGTTGTGATCTAGTTATGAGAGACATTGTCTTGTGGTAAAAGGACTGGAATACAATGGAATAAAATTCAGGGATCGAGTATTTTGATCAAAATTTGAATTGGGCCAACAGTAATTTTAATTGAAATATCCACTCCTTCAAGAACGGTGTACAATAAAAAATCACTCAGATTTAAGTTAAGCACAAAACACTGAAGGATAATAAAGATGAAAAGTGAAACCTTGAGCTTTCTCTTTTTTGTCGTAAGCACTGTCTCTTTTCGACGGAAATAATCAGAGGACAAATATAGACGTAGACGTGGGGGTTAGTGCGCGGGGGTTAGTGCGCGATAACTGTTCAGTTTTTTGTACCACGTGACGTAAAATTAGCCAATAGAAACGCGAACAAATTAATAGGCGGGTTATAACACTTGAAATTTTGTCTGTTTTCTGATCGCACCTAGCGAATGTTAGAATATTTGCTTCATCACTAAAAATTTCAATTTGAAAAAGTTTCTTTCATTTTTTCCCTACAGAGGGGAAAGTTCCACTGGACGGTGTCAGAATCAATGAAAAGCATTTTAAAGAAAGTTTCAGCTTAACGTTGATGTTCTTCCTGTTGGCATTTATTGGAGTACTGCTCTGTTTCTTTAGTTTACTTTTTAATGTCACATATCGAAAGCATCAGTAAGTAACAAACTTTGACTCATATAGCATACCCTCAAGTTTTAAGACCAGCATTTTCAAAAGATTCCAGTGCTTTATGAAAGCGAAGGAACTCGTTTAAATCAGTTTTAACGCATGAAATCATCTTAAACGAGAAAGAAAGGTCCTATATTGTTACAGCAAATGAAAATAAATATTTGTAAATACTATTAAATCAAGTATACGGGAAGTAAAACCTCTCTGTATGATTATCAGAAACAAGCACAACTACTTTGAGATATGTAGTTTCTGAGTACTTCCTATTTTGGGTTTAGTGATGGTTCGTGAAGATGCCTCTTTCGTGCTGTCTTTCCCTCTGAAAACGCTTTGGAAAATCAAGCAAAAATCACTGGTTTTACCAAATGGCGTAAAATATAGTGCTTATTACTGCTTGTCTCCGATTTACAATCTCCCGTTTGCACAGAATTTCATTCTGTAATTGCTTCAAACTTCTTTTTCCCCATAATGCCTTAGTTTATGTACCTAGGTTCATTAAAATGTCATCTCCAAAGTTTAACGATATCACCGTCATTGGATGCCTGCTGTCCTACATCGAAATGTTCTTATCAGCTTACGCTAACTCTGATTATACAGAACACGACATTTCACTCTGCTATGTAAGTATGCTCATCCCATAAATGTTAAAGGGCGCTATATAAGTAAATAAATTATTAAATTATAAATTATTATGCTTTGGAGCCTGCTCAGTTTTCCAGGTATACAGCCTTGGAACTCGAATACAACATACTTAAAGAAGAATTAGGTTCATCAACAACTTTAATCAAGTACATAAAGCCCTTATCATATTACAGAGTACTAAGGTTATGTAAAAACAAAATTGGTGAAAGTGTCTAAAATAAAAACGAAGGTTTAAAAGTTTCAATAATCGTTGCTGCTGAAAAATGGCCGCGAGCGAGTGCTGATCGCTGCAAGCCCGTGGGTTAAACACCAACGGTGATGGGAATTACTGGGTGAAAAACTCAGATGAAAAATATGTTTTCAATGCAACACTAAGATTAATTTTTTTTTCACCCTTAGATTAGAATCTGGCTGCTCTCTACCGGTTTCACTTTGGCATTTGGTGGGATTTTCGTCAAAACCTGGAGAGTTTATAAAATATTTACAAACAACCAGATGAGGAAAGAGGTAAAGAAATAACTAAAGGACAACTCGGCTCATCATCATTGTCATAGCGGTGTCATCAGTCAAGGCAATTTTTAAATAATTGTCAAAAGCGAACCAGTATTGCCTTTGATTTGCGTTAGTACGTCTGTGATTGGTTTGGAAAACTCGCGCCATCCCGATCATTTTCAAAACTTAAACCAATCGCGACTTGGTCAATTCTTTTGAGCAAAATTCTTTTAATAACAATTCAAGTGGCGCCTTGATTCCCTTGAATGCTTTACTATGCAATGCTAGCATTGCTGGTAATGTGAATACTTTTGGCAGTATAATAGACAAATTAAACCTTGTACCGTTTATTTATCGTTAGGCACCATAACAGGAATTTGTTACTGTGCCTTGCACATGATTGTTTGTAGTCTTTTATACTAATGTAATTTTCATTATTTTCAGTATTTTGTAATTGCATGTGCGCATTGTAAACGAGTATACTAAATGCTGTTAGGCGTTATGTGGATAAATAAACTATCTTTCTATCTACTTGCTTTGATATAGGGTCGCTTTGCACGCTTTTGGCCGTCTACCGCTCGGTTAATAAGAATGGGGTTCTTATTGGCTCCTTGTGACCATTTATTTGAGCTTCAATGTTATCGTACAACATCGCGCTCATCCTTTAATGCTTTTTACTGAAATGCTTTCTATTTCCTCTTCAGCTTGGAAACTTAAGTAGCACTAGCCTCTTGTTGAGGCTATGTGTTGCTTTGTTTGTAGACTTCATTTTTTTATCAACTTGGACAGCTATTGATCCAATGACCATGGAAACTGAGAAAATCGATAATAAGGTAAATATTAACGGCAACTTTCTGTTTTTGTTTACACTCTCATGGTCGTTGTTATGCTTTTAGATAACCGGCCGTGATGATATTTGATAAAGCCAAGATTTCCATTATGATCAAAAAGCTCTGTGCTATTCAAAAAAATATTAATTAGTAATCGGTTTGAAATCTTGCAATTGTTAATCGACACGAAACTCTTACACTCTAGGTCAGTAGCAGATCTATAGCTCCAAAATAATATGACTTTCACATTTGCACACTCATCAGAAAACTTCTCTACTCTCTAATAAAGGTTCCAAATGATGACTCCGACTTCAAAGAGCAGTTTGTGTTCCATCAGTGCACCTCTTCTCACTATATGACCTGGTTGATTTCAATGAGCGGGCTGAAGGGGATCATGTTGATTTTCGGTGTGTTTTTGGCCTGGGAAACAAGAAACGTGCATTATCCTTCGCTGAACGATTCCAAGAACATTGGCTTAGCAGTGTATAACGTGTTCATGTTTTCTTGCTTAGCAATTGTGGCCGAGTTCGTGGTTTTTCCTCCCCTTAAGACTATAGTTCAAAGATCGATCGTGTTCGTGGCGACCACTTCGACAATTGCCCTGCTATTTGTACCAAAGGTCAGAAATAACTTATAGTTCTTTGTAAATAGAAATAACAGAGATTGTAAGTTTTGAGCTCGGTAAAGAAATAGAGAGAGATGTTTTTCGTCTTGTCACGAGCGTGAGACAAGGAAAATTAACTTCGTAACAGACCTTACTCTTGCTCACCGTGGAGTCTCTGTGGCTTAGTGGTGGAGCATCGGAGCTCGGAATCCGAAGGTCTGGGGTTCGGTTCCTCATGGAGATTCAGAATTATTTTTTTCTTTGTCTCACGCTCGTGACAAGACGAAAAGCAACTTTCTCTGACTTGTAATTCCGTTACAGCAATTTTTACTCCCTCGAGACTTAATCTGACAACAAGAGATGATTAATAATGATACAGTTAACGTCGATTAGGTCACATTTACATCAGTTTACAACTAAGTCTTGAAAAACCAAAATCAAAGAAATTACAAAGTTGACATGAGCATTAACCAATGAGAACTCAAAGAAACATAATTGGAGGAATGAGATTTAATTAATTTTATAGCTTTAACGTAGGAAAATGTAACGACATGTGATGTTAGTCATTGCTGAGCGCTGTTATGGGAGCTAGAAACGAAAAATACGTTCACAATTAAAAATGTATCATTGGTCACCGGAATGGGTTCTCTCCCTTGAATTTCGCTTTTTGAATGATAGAAACATTTATTTATTCATTCATGAAATTCCATCTGACAGGTACTTTACCTGAGGAAAAATACGGCAGTTTCCACGGCCGCCGTCCTGGAGACAAACAATGTGGCATTAGAAAATCAAGGAGTGACGAATACATCGAACTCTGTAAAAAAAGCCAAATATTTAAAAACTTGTGCAAACTAATGCTACGGTAATTTCCGGAGACATAGGTTTATCGAAGCAAGCATCAAACCTAAAGGATCAAAAGCGAGTTGGAATGAAATAAGCCGACCTTTAAGAAGGCCGTTGCAGACCATTAATTATCAACCAAAGCTTTTAATCGAGTGTTCAAATGCAAAACCTAATGGAAGTTGCCTGGTTTGAGTTTATGGACCAGTTTTAGTGAAATCCTACTCGTGGAGGAATTGAACTGCAAAGTCCCACTTATAAAGCAAGTTTTATTGGATGCTAAACGGACTACCAGGTAGACACCCTATGAATTAGTTCCAGGTTAAATCTAGGCCGGATGGGAGGTTATACCCATCGCAGTTAAGCTTCGAAACTAACGGACAAGTGTGGCCGTTTGTCGCAGGGGAAGGTGAAACCATAGGTTCTAAGGCAATAGTGACGAAGCAGTCCATTTTGCTAGTACACGTTACAGATTACGCTATGAAAGAGGGAATGCTCCCAGCTCACAAAATCAAGAGAAATTGCCATTGACAAAAGACCCTTAACACACACGAGGGTGCCTGGCTAAGATATGAACATGTAGTTGCTATGGAGACATGAGACGTTCGTGCTCTAATATCATTACTTATTAAGTCGTCTAGAGATTTATAACCTTCCACCAAGAATAAGCAGACCGCCTGACTGTAATATGTCACCACAGTACAGAAAAATAAAATTGTCCTCAGGAACCCACGCAGTTGCCTAAAGTCTTATCTAGCAAGGAATCAGCAGCATAAAACCTAAATGAATTCAAGCGGATATTAAATAAATTTGACATTAACAAAATAAATTTGACATTAACAAAATAAATTTGACATTAACAAAATAAATTTTGACTCCAGTATTGTAGCCGTCATTAAACACAAGTACAACAGTTAAGAATATTATTCAAAACTAATTTAAATTTAAATCATCAAACCAAGTAGTGAAAATTTTTATAGCCTTTTATGGTTATGATTAGTTAAATGCACGACACCACCAGCTATGCTGAATATTTTATCGTGGTTGAAAAAAGTTATTCATTCATTCATGTTATTTATTTTTTGTGAAAATGAGCCGGCATCATTTTAAAATGCATATAATTAGCTATTCGAAAGTTGTGGGATCTTCACGAGCTCTTACACCACAATGGTTTTTCCACATGATCTGATTAAGGCTAACAAGCGCCATATGTAAAAATGGCGAGTTAGTGTTTCGCTTCGCTACTTACTTTTCTCTTCCTTAAGATCGATGCGAAGGAAGACAATTGGTAAAATCTGCCGAAAAGTTAAGGAAACGACGACGGGGTTCATTGAGCCGAAATCGTTATTTAAAGATAAAACTTGTCAACCAGAAAGCAGATGGTTCTCGTGTGCCGCCCACATAAGTAATTGAGTCTCAGTGATCGAGGTATTTTCCAAAAGGTTCTCGGTGGTACTGGCAAAACTGACAGCTTTATCCTGGAATCAAACTGTGCTAACAAGCTATCTGCTTTAAGCTTGGTGGTACACAAGTCGATATAAGATAAAAAAATACAATAATTTCCTTTTCTTATTTATATGACAACACTGTTTGGGGGTTAAAGGTCTTTCTGATGTAAATATGGAAGCGATCCTCGCAGTCATGAACAATACTTAAGTGGTAGTGAAAATAAGTAGTGTTAATAACTGCGAGGATCGCTTCCATATTTGTTTCTTCTACCGCAGTTCACATATATGATTTTCATATATTTACAGTCATTACATTACAATACAGATATATTCAGACAATGTGCTGAAACTGATTGGGGCTGACAATATTCTTCAAGGTAATGTTCACAGTTTTCTTTTCTTTCCTTTCAATACCGGCTTCTAGTTGGCTATGAAATATTTGACCATTACTTTGTAACATAAAGCTATGGAGCTAATCCATATCCAGTTACTCCAGAGTTAATCAATATACATTATCAAACAAGAAAGAGCCACTTTCTTAAACTTGTAGGCGTACAGCGAAAGCCAGGGCCAACGGCTCAATGTGTTATTGCTCTGTCGTTTTCGCTTGAGGGAACAAATTAAAGTGCGCTGTAAGTGCCACGACTTTAGGTGCCACGACTTTAGCATTTCAAGTTTCGTGCAGTCAAAGCTATATATACCAAAACAACGATCGGAATTGTCAAAAGCTCTTGGAAATTAGAAACTTCACAACCTACAAAAAACGTACTTGTCAGAAAAAAGAAAACGTATATTACGACAAAACGAAATGTTACTAAGAGTGAAATTAAATATTCATATGTATGCCAGCTTCAAAAGACAGAAGTATTTTATGGCCATAAAAATGCTTCCTACTCTAAAATATGTTGCTATATTCTGGACTCATGTCTAAAGGCTAAGATGGATGTTATGGCTGAGAGGTAGAGTTCATTAAAAAAGTTGTTTATAGTCTATTTCAAGCTTTTTTTCTTTATCACCTCAGGAAGAAACAAGTGGGCTAAATTGACTAACTGTGTTTTTTGACAAACTGTCGGATCTTTTTGTTGTCTATCGGCTACAACAATACGCCTCTTTTTATCAAGTAAAGTCATCGAATTTAAACTTTGCGGAAGGCATTTCAAGCAATATTTGTACCTTGACACAATGCGCCACAATCAGATCGATGGTTTGAAATCGTATCCATGTATTCCGTACAATTTTATTTTGACTAACGAAATTCAGGAAGGTTTATTCACGAAGCTTTCCTATTGTAATAAGATGCTCCTAGACGTATTTGAAGAGTAACAGTTGTTTTTTGTATTCTAATTATAACTAACGTCAAACATGTAATGTTATACACTGTCTGGTTGAAATAATTATGTCGTGAGACATCATGGAAAAAATTAAATGTTGCTTGAATTGTGCGTCGTTAATTGTTATATTCTTGTATTATTCAGATATTCCTCGGTCTGCCTTTACAGTTACAGAGTTTCTAGCTCTTACACTAATGTGTTTGTTTTATCGGTAAAATTAATTGAAGTGAATTTGCATCACTTCGCTTTGGAGTGAACTTTAAAGTGATAATGTTGCACCGAATCTTCATAGGACATTTTCCATTTATTTTTATGACCAAGAGAACTATTGGTTTATCAACCAAGGACAACGTTTTTAAGTCAAACAACGAATTTTAATTAGAATCTTTCAGATGAAGAAAATTAATTCATTGAGAAGACCCCACTTGGTTTTGTTTTGGCAAATATGTTTTTCCATTTGAGTGCACCATGCGGATATCTCATATTATTAAAAAAGCTCTTCCAAAAGGCACTTTAAAACGCTAATCCTCATTTATCTATCAAGCGAATAAAACCTCTTTTTTTAAGAAAACTATCTATTTAAGGGGAAAATCTTATAACAATCTTTATGCTGATATCTTAATTTTGGTATCACCTGCATGACGTTGAATTTGTCATTTATTTATTGCGTTGAAACTGAAACGTTCGGCTCGGTGCAAATTTTGAGAGGATAACAGCCATCTTCCAGATACTTTAAACACTTATCGTGCCGTTGAAATTTTTCACCGTCTAAAAGGCAAGATTTCCGCACAACCGCATCCTGCATTATGCACTCAGTTCTTGGATAGAGAAACAATGTCAAGAACAATACATTGCCATTGAGAAAACAGATTTGTTTTACAGTAGTCTGGGGCTGTGCAGAAATCTAACCGTCCAAAATATACTCTATTTGTTTAAAAACAGAAAGTGAGTTGGTGGGAGGAAATAATTTTGATCGAAACATAATAACCTTTCGTTGAAAACCAGAAGTCTACGTATCACTTATAAAAACCAAACTTTCTGTTCTCTAAATTTGCAAGTGATTGTCTCTTCATCGAGAGGCGTTGTACAACCACATCAATGTTTTGCGACTGACGTGAAGTGTAAACAAATAAAATTATACATGAAATAGCAACAGTATAATTTAAGAATTTGACGGAGTCATGCATACATTTTCGTAGCATGACGCCTCAGGCAGATTTGATAATCTCCACAACCGGATTGAAGCCTAAAGCCTTTTTATGTGAGTGCAAAGTGTCTTGCCTTGAACATATCACATAAACCCCGACTATAGTTCGATCCCGGACCTTTCAGATAGCAGGCGTTACGATATTATCAGAGATGAAAATTGATCTTTCTGTGTACTCTGTAAATGTAAACAGATCTGATAACAAACCACGGAAATGGCAAACCAGTACCAGCTTTTCATGTGCTTGTTCTCCTACGTTCTATTGACGATAGCGAACAAAACTGATCACGGTAACTCCATGACCAAGATTGACCTATACATCGGTGGCTTGTTTGGTGTCAACGTCAAAAATGGCGGTTGGAGTACAGCTGGGGTCATTCCAGCTTTGGAGATGGCGTTAGAACATGTGAACAGCGATCCTGGCATATTGGTGAACTATCAGTTGAAATACGTGTGGAATGATTCCAGGGTATGTTCTCAGTGCAGGAGTAGAGTTATAAAACTGTTTATTTTTTTTTTTGAAAAGTAAACAGATAATTTCAGTATCGATTGATGCATCTTATAGAAAGGAAAACAAGATACAAAGACGAAAGAAAGAAAGTAACGAAACAGAAATGTTTTGGCTTCTCTCTGTTGTGTAATTGCTACATATGAATTCTAAATTAGAGACTACCACTCTGGTTCGATTCAGCGCACGGGGCGCTTCTTCAAGTTACTTTTTGTACCGCAAGAGGGGGCACTCATTAGAAACTGGGCGCTTATTAAGGACAGGGTACTTGTTTGTTCATTTGAAAAAAAAAATTAAGTAGACTGGAAAACGGACCTTTTGTCTCTGGATCTTCCTTGGCTAGACCGACCAGCCAAGCAATCGCCTCAAATTTTAAGACGAGATCATTCGTTTAAAGGAACTGTGCACTAACGTGGACATAAAAGTTGAGAGACTGGCACGTAGACCGCTGTTTTTGTGATAACGCCGGGTTGTGGCATTTTGAAATAACTTGCGCATTTTGTACTAAATATTGCAGCAGTTTATCATGAAGGCGACCTACGCTTTTCGTAATAAGGGCTGGAGCATTTTGTAATAATCGTCTGTGTACACAAATTTTAACATCACCCGGTGATGCGTCAAGTTGACACAAATTTCAGTGATATCAACTTTGTCACAAAAACATGCAAACAAATAAGAAAAAATGGTATCACTGAATCAGTGACGAGGCACAAAATGGGTAGGTTATTACAAAATGCGTCGTTATTACAAATGCCGCGGAACACATGGGTTTTCATAACATTTTTGTTTGAAGTTGGTTTTGCTTTCGTTAAGATTAGAAAGCTATAAGAAGATTTGGAATTCTATTAGAATTATTTCATTCAATTGATCAGTAAGTTTAATTCAGAAATTTGATCCTTTTTCAAGTGCGAAAGTGGCGCCGGAATTCGAGCGATGCTGGGGTTAATTAACACACAGCCTCACAAGATTGTATTCTTGGGTCCCGGATGTTCGTTAGCGACCGAACCTATTGCAGAGGCCGCGCTGTATTGGCAAGCAGTGCAGGTGACTTACTGTCATTTACATATTTATGACGCTTTTTTTTAAGCAAAGTCGGGAACCAAATATTTTGCTCTAAGCTGATGTAGACGGACCTGACTTGCTTAATGAAAAAAAATACGATAATAACAATATTAGTGACTATTATCATTATCATCATTATTACTGCTATTACTATTATTGACGACTTCTTTGCTATATATACTTTGTTTGATTGGTTTTGTTCTGTTTTGTTTTGTTTGTTTTTTAGATTGGTTACAGCGCATCATCACCTCAGTTTTCAAACAAAGAGAAGTATCCTTTATACTTCAGAACCGCCACTTCTGAAACAATGGAAAACCCAGCTAGAGTCGCGCTGTTAAAACATTTTAAGTGGAAAAGAGTCGCCCTCATTGTGGAAAACTTCGATATTTTTGCTACAGTAAGAATTGCCGGATTATTATAACTATGCATGAACATGTCAGTTCATCTCTGAAACGTGATGGAGTTAGTATTCCAACAAAAAGCTACTACAATTAAATTAAAGTCACAAATCTACAATCAACAGACAAAAGTACGTCATCTTTAAACATGTGATTCTCTTACCCGATAGAACTCGCCAACCCTTGCATTAAAATATTAATTTTTTAATAGACAAAAGAACATCTCATTCCCATGTTAGAGGAATCAAACATCACCGTTATTGCGGCAGAAACATTCATAGAGGACCCGTCTTCATCAGTCAAAAATTTACTGAAGGTAAAGAGTAAATCTATACTTCACATTTAATTGTCTATCTTTCAACTTGCTACTGTTATACCCAAGTTCTTCAAACGCCGAATAGCGCTAAGCCAGGGTAGGGCTTTAATCCGGGATTTTTTTTCCTTTATTAAAAAACTTTAGTGGGATAGTTTACTTTTTCTTTTTCGAACATCCAATTACCAAATTGTGGACAAAAAAAATTATACTGAATTTTCTTTTAAAGCTTTGAGATCTGATATCAGATTTCACACTAACCCTGCATGAGTTATCTGAATCCAGGATTAAACAACTCGGCTATGTAGACCAGGTTGTTCGAAAGGGAATTAACGTTAATGTAGGATTAAAAGTTAACCCAGACTTTAAATTCTCAATTAGAAGAGCACGTACAAAGGCTTAGATTTTGTTATGTTTGGTCTCAACACCACTCGAAACTAACGGAAAAAGAAGCTAAAAACAAAAGAATAATCCCCTTGCAAAGCTATAAAACTGAATTAAAATTTATACAAACCCCTGGTTAGGTTCATCGTGTTTGTACAACCCGGCCCAAATGAAAGTTCGTAGAGTAACATTCGATCAATTGGACCGACTAGCCGCTAAACATAATTGATCAGCGAGATGATGAATTTTGAAAATATTACATAGAAAGTAATGGGATTGATGTTCCATTAGTGATCAAGTTGTTACTGGTATCTAGGGGAAAGATGCCAGAATAATCATTGGATTGATGTACGAGGACATGTTTAAAAAGGCTATGTGCACTGTGAGTATTGAATTTGGCGAGATTAAACATTTTTCCAACTACCACTGACTACTGCTAACGTTCCTGCTGATCCTAAGGCTCTCTACGTCCTTTTTGTGCCACGTAGTGGTCAAGGGTTAGTGTTGAAGCCTTGAAGTCCAGAACTGTCTGGCCAAACTGATTTCACAAATACATATTCCTCCTGAGCTCACCCACTCCCTCACTCCTTATGAACTTAACAACCTGTCTTCTCTTGCTTGCACGCATCGAAGACAACATCAAGGTGCAACTGTAAGGAGTATGTGTGGACTTTTCCTTCTCTAGAATTCGTTTAAATTTTTGTGTAAGACATGTCAAAACTAATGGTATAATAGGTATGCAGCCAACTCCTAAATCTCATATGGAAGGATTACCTGTTATCCACAATTGGGAAAATGAACAGACAGCTGCTTAAAATAATAACTTTCCGTAACATTCATTTGAAATGAATGCATGACATTTTCTCACAGGCTTACAAGCAAGGGCTCTTTGGAAACAAGTATGTTTGGATAATAGTTGGATGGTACTTGGAGGACTGGTGGACAAAAACAGATGAAGAGTGTACAGGAGAGAATTTGCTTAAAGCTGCTAGTAACTTGATATTAACGTCTCCATTACGTCTCAGTAATTCACCACAACCCACAATATCGAATAAGGTTAGAAATGTTTATGTTTCTTCTCAGGTCCAGTCTTGTCCAAAACAATGTACTGCTGTTCTGTATCAAAAACAAAAAGATTTAGACACGCGGATCTGAAATGTTCTGAATCCTACGTTGAACATTTGTTATTCCAATAAAAAAGGCTTTGCTATGAAGGAACAGCCATGGCAGAGATGTAAACTCACAGTAATGACAAATTATCATTTTTACCATGAATGAAATAATGCATCTTTGTCTTCTATTAGTTCAAGCATTCAGGAAATACGTGCTGATAATTGAGCAAACGCCAATAATTCTTTCTTTATCTCCTATTTTCAGACAGCACAACAGCTCAATTCAACTTACGAGGAAAGATGTCGGCATTCCAATTTTACCTCTCATGAGTACGCAAGTTTCACTTATGACGCCGTATGGACCATCGCTCTTATGTTGGACAAATCCATACCCCTACTTGGGGAAAAGAACAAAACTTTTGAAACCATCAAATACGGTGATAAAGAAACAGCTGAGATCATGAAAGATATTCTGTTCCGGACAAACTTCACGGGAATGTCGGTAGGGTAACCAATTCTTCTTCCTCTTTGGACCTCAAGGTCTCTGTCCTTTTTCACCAATGTTAAAAAAAGAGAAAGAAAGAAAAAATGCAGGTCAACAGTTTTATGGGTTTTTACCATGGTATAGTGAAATAAGTTTTGCTGTACCTTTTTAAGGGTCACGTGTCGTTTGATCGATATGGAGACAGGCAAACAGTTGTGCTAATTACTCAGAAGACAGGTAAGAGGAATTTTTGTTTGTTTGTTTGTTTCTGGAAGTTTCACCTCATTGCAAGCTCCGGCCTATAAAATAAAACAAGTTCGCCTCCACCTTTACCAGCTCGCCAGATGAAATTGTATTAATTGTATACGGAAAAGCTATGTAAAAATCCGGCCTTAAAAAGATTATGAATAGGACGATATGTATGTTATTCACCCGCCGGGAGGTCCCCATAGGGAAAAACTGAGCCCGAGGTCCAAAGTACCGCCCGAGGGCGTAGGCCTAGGGTGGTACTCAATTCAGAGGCAAGGAAGGTAGGGATGTACTCAGCGACTCACGAAAGGATTACCGTGCCCGTGGGCAGAGATAGGAAAATCCGAACCGTACTAAATCAATACCAATCAGATTGCAGGATTCGTTACCATGCCCTCTAAGAAAAAAAATAATCATACTTATTAGAACGTTTCGGTATTTCTTCAGGAGACAGTAAGAGATTGGTCGCTACAATGGATGTGCGTGATGGGAAACTGAAACTATATGGTGATGGTTTTGAATGGGCAGGTGAGACAAGCATATAGTTCAATGTACATTTGATTTTATGCATTTCAGAGATTGGGAACTTCCTTCGTATGATGAACTCTGACGATAGGTAAGATACGAGGTTGAACTTGTGAATTTTAGCGGCCTACTTGATTTTCAGGCTTTCACCGGTTTCTTTTATAAAGGAGATCAAAACTCTTCGGGATAGCTTTTGAAAACGTATCCTACATCCAAATATATTACAAGAGACTACTCTTTGCCAATTAAGATGTATACAGAAACCCTTCATCATTTTTCTGGGTTAGAGGGGGAGAATTCAGGTTTAGTCAAATTGCGTTACGCTTCTCAAGAATTTCAACCTCCATTGTAAGTTTTTTTCCCATGAATAAAGCATAATAATAGAAACGGACTCTTGCTTACACTGCCTCCTTCCACCAGTTATCATTGTGACACTTGTACTGCAGATAGGCTCATTTGAAATCTCTTACAAAGTCTTCTCTGCCTTTTCACCCGCAGGTGGTCGTGTTCCAGTAGATGGTGTAAAAATCACTCAAAAGATTTATCATGAGGGTATAAAGACGACTGTTTCGTTCTACGTTTTGGCCTCATCCGGTATACTGCTTTGTTTGTTCTGTCTGCTGTTCAACTTCAAATATAGAAATCACAGGTAATTTGAAGCTCGAAGGACATTAAGCGAAATTCCCGCTAGCATTTCGCACAATTTGAGTTGGTTACCGAAACAATGGCGTTCCCCCTTTAGTTATTTCGAGGAAAATGCTATTATAGTCCTGCTTCTATCAATTGGAACGCCAAGGGCGGGTTTTGAATGAAACCACTGGCTTGGTCCTGAAGAGAATTTGAACCATTTTGCCTAAAAATTCTAACAGTTTAATCAACATTATCTCTTTTTCGATGGGACTATTTTCTGAAAGGAATCGAAAACTGTGCTGCGCATACTGATCATAGAAAAGTGAAGTGTCTCGAGTCACCTCATAACAGCCTTTCAATTAGATTTTTGGTTTCCATTTTTGTTAAGAGTATGACTTAACATGAAATTATTGTCATTTAGTCCACTGTAAGATGCATGGACCAATATGTTACAGTTAAATGCTACTTTTAATTCTACATTTAAAATATTGGCTATTTGAATCGATTGAAACTGAGAGGTTGTAGAGGGAAAGGTATTCAAACGTTTACCTCACAGGTAGATGAAATTCATTTAAAAAGATGAAAGTATACACCCTAATTTTGGTTTGGAAAGTCTGAATATGTTGAGTTTTGACTTTTTTCTTTCTGCAGTTTTATAAGAATGTCATCTCCGAATTTCAACAACATTACTGTCATTGGATGTATGTTGGCTTACTTGGAAGTATTTTTATCGGCCCACGGTAGTTCTGGTTCAGCGGAACACTTGAACCATGCTTTCCTTTGCAATGTAAGAAGTGTTTGTAGCAAGTCAAGATTGAAAAACTCTTCTTTTTCTAAGAAATTATATCTTCCGCTTGAGTTTTCTGTACCTTTGATAGCCTAATTAAAGGGATTTTCCAGTATTTACTCAATAAGACTGTGTTTTATGACACTAACTTAACTAAAATAATTGACCATCATAAGTTGATAAAATATATCTAGGTTTTTTAGATACTTCAAGAGGATTTGAAATACATGCTGTTTTCTTGGTTGTTTAATGATATCCCTAAACAATTTTAGTAAATTTTAATGAGAACTTGTAACCAAATGCAAAGTAGCTGACGATCTAAAGTTACAAGCAGTATGAGATGTGCCATTTCTTAAAAGTAATTACTTGTTGGCATAGCTTGTCGTGTCTTGTTCCTGGTAGTAATTTTTTAAAAATATTGTCGGATAACGCTTGGCTTTTTTAATCTTTAGGTTACTGCCTGGCTTCTGACCACCAGTTTTACCTTCGCCTTTGGTGGCATTTTTGTTAAAACCTGGAGAGTTTACAAAATATTTACCAACTATCAATTGAAAAAGGAGGTGAGGAAAGGTTATTCCTGTTTTGTAATAAGGATGGACTTGAAGCAGGCGTCAGCTAATATTTTTCTTTTAAATTTTAATTAGATCCGCAATTTGAGTAGTACTAGTCTTCTCGCAGTACTGATGGCCGGTTGGTTTATAGACGTCATCTTCCTGTCAACTTGGACATCTATTGACCCATTGACGACGAAATTCGTGAACATTTTCAAAACGGTAAATATTTAACAACAGTATTAGTGACACACTCGGCCGTGCCTCGTGTGCCACTTTTTTGTTCTTACCACACTTTGACGTCATCTGTGATCTATTACTGAACAGACGCACGGCAACTTAGAATCTATTTGTTTTGTATAATAAAGAATAAAAAAAAGTTTTAATGACGTCATCTACACGTCTGTCCTCCAATAGATCATAAGTGAGAACCAATCAGAGTGCGTGCATAACTAAGCTTATTATATAAAGTGTTATTTTTCGCAAGAGTTGTCACGGGTATTGTTCACACATGCATTGTGCAATTCTGGAGTTTTTATTATGCACTATCATCTGGTTTCTGTTGCTGTTCAGTTTAATTTGTTGTTTCTGGGAACAAAGTAAAGTAAAAAATATTTATCGGTCTCCACTAGCACTCAAATATTTATGTTGACTAACAGAAACTCATATTTGAACATTTGTCACGAGACGAAATTGTATTAAATTTGAACGCCAAAAGCGGCACAAATGGTGCAGCTGAGTGTTTCCCTGATGTTCTTACCAATTTGACATCTCTTGTGATCTAGTACTGTACAGACCCACGACAAAATGCAATCTATTTTTGAATACGATAAAAACGCAAAGTGTTAGAAATGGTAACATCATTACGTGTTTGTCCCCCAATAGATTATAAGACAGTACCTATCAAAAACCGTGTATCATTTAGCTTATTGAATAAATTGTGGTAATCAAGACTTTTGTACGTTGTTACAGGTTGACAATAATGACCCTGACCTCGTGGAGGAACTGTTAACCCGTCAGTGTACTTCTCACCATTATAATACCTGGGTGATGTCTTTGTGCGGACTGAAAGGGATACTGTTAATTTTCGGGGTGTTTTTGGCCTGGGAAACCAGAAACGTGCATTATCCTTCGCTCAACGATTCGAAGAGCATTGGCTTAGCAGTGTACAACATGTTCATGTTTTCTTGCTTGGCGATTGTGGTTGGGTTTGTGGTTTATCCTCCCCTTGAGACTCTGGTTCAAAGATCGATCGTGTTCGTGGCAGCCACGTCGACAGTTGCCCTACTCTTTATCCCAAAGGTAAAGGTTTACATGGCCCCCTCTGCGTCTGCATAAGTCTCACGTGACTGAACAAGTCATGTAACTGATAACTTGTAATAGACAATATAGATATGATTCAGTGAAATGTATGAGATTCACAAATTTTTGACACCGCTGATAGTAAGATACAAGATGTCATAGTTACTGATATGTTAAAGAAATGGACACGAGCTTAAAAGAAGAAGTCTTAAGGCGGCAAGCTTCGCCCTCTAAAAGATTGTCTCAGTGGGGTTAACCGATAGCCGTAAGACAGCCAAAAAATTTAGACGTTAGGCGTAAAAACTGTTAAATTAAGTCGTGAGAAAAGTTAATCAAAAATGAAATTCTGGTGACCACAATGGACAGATACCATTAAAAAATGCACTGGGCTCAATTTTGAAAATGCCATCAATTTTACCCGCGCTTTTTTCATTTTCACCTTGTGATCTTAAAAGCCACGAGCATTTTCTCCTAACTGACCAAGTCTTTTTCTAACACATTGGTTCATGAGTGGGCCCAGCATCGTTCATCGAGCTATGAAGCGCATGGGAATTTAGAGAACACGACAAATCCATTCGAGGCGCAGCCGACAGGAACTTGAGCTCCTCGAGGCATTTTAAAGATGGTTCATCAGAGAGTTCCCTCTTTTGAGATCCATGAAAACAGCCCTATCAAATAGAAGTCTTTTTAAGTAATGAGTAATCGAGCTTCATTTTCATAAGGCTTTTAGAGATCGAAAGAAAAAGACAGGATAATGTTGTAATTACTTCATAAAGGTGCTGAACACGATACCTTGATTTTGCTTAAAGGAGATTTATTAATTCACTAAGTGAGTCGATGTGGAGTCCTTTTCTCAACACCAATGGGGTTCTAACTTAATAATACAAAAATTAAAAAGTGTTCATATAATTAATTCAAACAATCACAAAGCCCTTTTCACTCGTAACCACTAGACGTGGTCAGCTTGTTATTTCACCAACACTTCTTTCAGCGACATCTGCGTCATGCGAGAAAAAAAATAACATAAAAACGGTTTAGAACATCTTGTTTTTCTCATTGCAATCTTCGCATACTTCATACCCTTCTTGGAAATTAAAATACTTTTTTTTTTTTTTAACATTTTTTTTTATTTTCACTTAAAGCACAAATACTAGAGTAATACAAACAAATACAAAGTTAATTACACTAACGCTTACGCTACTCACTAACACTAATTACGAAATACTGCGTTACATTTCATTCACAGTCGGCTAGATTTAATTTATGTTGTGGTTATATAATAATATAAACCTAATTTGTACAAATACTTCTACATCAAATTCCTTTTTTGGTAGAACGACTGTATATACAACTGCGTCTATAACTGTTAATACCCGATACTCATCTATTGAGTTACAATAACATGTTTTCCCATTTTTTATAATGAATAGATTCTTTTTTATTCTTTTTTGCAATCAAAAATTCAAATTTCCGAGTTTCAGATGTTTTAGCCTTCAGTAAGGATACAGACGGCATGATATTTTTACAACGACATGAATAAATGGTATATTTTCCAAGAATGATTATGTGATTTAACAAACAATTCCCAGGGTTATTATCGGAAATACCAAAGAGGATTGTTACCTCATCAAGCTTATCAATTTTCATATTGTAAGTATTTAACCAAGAAATAACCGAAAGCCAAAAGTTTTTAGTGTAGGTACAGCTGATTAGAAGATGCTCAAGAGTTTCTTCGTGATCTCCACAAAAGGTACACATCGGAGAAGGAACCAAATTCATTTTATATAGGATTTTATTGGTGTAGAGAATACGATTTAAGATTTTGTATTGAAAGGCTCTCGTTCTGGTGTCAAGAGTGACTCGACCCGGCAATAGATAAATATTTTTCCAGTCTATATTACCTGAAATATTATATACGGAATTAAACTTAGATTGGGCAGTCGGAGAAATCTGGATTCGTTTGACCAGGGTGGAATAGATTGATTTTGAAGTCATTCTAGTTATATCTTGAACATCGTCTGAAACAGTTTTGTCAATTCGGTTGTTATTATTCTCTCCAACGTTAAGGAGCTGTTTCCAGTTAGGCGGAATGGCGGAAAAAATGCCTTGTAGGAGTAAAAATGCCTTGTAGTAAGTAAGAAATTAAATACTTGCCACCTCTACAATTAATTAGTTTGTACTAAACTGGATTACTCAAGAACATATTTTCATCGTACTTAAAAGCTATCATTTCTCTCAGCTGAGAATGAAAATCGACAACCGGAAGATTTGCCATCGGCCGATTTTGGCCGTTTACCTGAAAGACTTCTTCTGTCGGTAAGGACAAAGTCATTACATGAGAATTTTGTAAATCGAAAATTACGCCCATTGTTGTTTTTGTAATCATGATTCAATGCATTTTTCCATCTTAAGAGTCAGCGCCAACGCACTCTACGATTGTTATTCGAGGATTGTCGATTCATTTATTTCATTCATTAATGAAGTCGGCTTTTCTTCCCAAAAAAGGGCTATTGTGTTTATATGATAAACAAAATAATACATGGTTGCTTGTAGATATGGAATTTCTCTTCTCGTGTTCAACTCGACATCTCACTCGTTCGCTGCGCTCACTCGTGAGCTATCGAGTTAAACACTCGAAGAGAAATTCCATATCTATGCGCGCCCATGTATTATTCTCTATATAATCCACTGCTGACCCTCGTCATAGTCGTAATCCGTTCCAAACTGGTTGTCAATTACGTTTCTACTTTTTTTCTTAATATTTTTCTTTCGTTTTTCTTTTTTTTTTTTTTTTTTTTTTTTAATTTCCTGTAGTCTTTACCAGAACAAATCGCACTGATCTCAGAAACGGAGATTTTGGTTAAGGAGCCTAGTACATCACATTAGTTCGAATCAATTTACGCGCTATGTACAGCGGCCTTGAAATCGTATGAAACATTAAGATAATCATTTGCTGGGGTAAACAAACACCAAAGATGTAGGAGTAAACCAAAATAAGAATGGAGAGGTTCAAGACGGATTGTAAATAAAGAAAATCACGAAGGTGTGCACACCGTGAAGTGTTTCGTTTGAAGGTTTCAATCCACAACAAAAGGTTCGAGGAAGTCCCTTTCAACAACGCGTTTCAATAAACTTCTACTTTGCGAGGATTTAGACTTGCTACTCTTGGCCCGCATCTCGCCGCAGCCAGAGTACCTGTCCCTGGACAAACACTTAAAGAAGAGAAGCAGCTGACCCAAAGATTTGATCTGGCACATGGTCAGCAACGGTTCTTCTGGCGCACGCTGTAGCTCCTCGACATCAACTTGATCTCTTATCCGCTTCTGGAGAAGTTTGTCCAAACGAACTATATGACATTTGAAAACTGGAACCTTTCCTCTCCAGCGGTCATGTTATACGCTTTCCCTTCAAACGCCCAGCGATAGAGTTGAAACTGTTATGAATGTATGAGGCACAGCCTGGGACAGATCGAGAAGTTTACACACCGCAAAGTACAACCCAAGCCACTTTTCCTGACTGTAGTTCACATACCCATTTGAGCCGAGAAGTAATTCGGATACAACCATTCTCTGCTTGTGTGACTTACCGTCAGAACCTAGGTCACTTTCCATTTGAAGTAACACGTGAACAACTTCTGATACAATCGTCGGCCACAATGGTGTCAAATGCTGCGCCGACATGCGCAAAGTAAGCACACGGAAAAACAGGAAGATTTGCTCGTGTACGACTGGTGACTGAGGTAGTCTCAGACTCTCAGCGAGCCGCTCCGGTATTTCTGGCAGAACGTACCGGTACTGATCCACCTCGCTGCAGAAAATTGTAAACGACAGCTTCTTTAAAAGCTGAGCACGCTACTCCATTTCCTGCAGCACACACAAAATTAATAAATAAATGAGTAAAAAATAACACAACAATATTAATATTGGCAGGGTAAATGCCTGAAAACTTGAAAAGCACACTGTTTTGACACATGGCTCATTAGACAGCACAAAAAAAGCCTTTTTAGTATAGTAAATCGTAATATATTAATAACTATGTATATATATATAATAAAATCGTCTGGTTCTCGTACTTCATATTTACTCTAATTCCCAATGAGTCTCTATTGTCATGTCTTTGGAAACGTCCCTGCTACCTATCCCCTAACGCACCACGTCAATCCCCCCCTCCCTCCAAAAAAACATACATCTGCAAGATTCTTATCAGCAGTCCGTTCTAATCTTTGCCAACCTTGAGCAGCCTCGTTCCTTCTTCAAGTTGCATGTTATTATTCCAATTTTGATGTTTTACCATATTACCATGACTTATGCGCTGTGGTTTATCTAGTCACCCATTTCATACAAACCTTCATTGCCATCCGTTGCTGATTTCTCTGATTTGGATTCCTTGCCAGCTCATACTGGAAAACAACAGATTTCCAACAACAGTTTACAAGCTGCTGCAAACGCCTGCGCGGCCTCAAATGCATGCTGAAGAATGTCTCTTGGGGTTATTCAGGATCAGCATCGTTATTGCAAACACTTTCAGTTCTGGAAACAGATTCAGTCTTGGCTGAGTTCGCCCTTAAAAGCCACATGTACAGCCGCCTATAAACTGGAAGCCACAAGGGTCACTTTTTCGTTGGACGAGAGATATGTCGTGTCCACGGGAAGAAAAAATAGATTTAGAAGAAAATCAAGCATATTCCATTCTATTGTCTCTTAATGCGGTGCTGACTGCATGCACCTACCGTGTTAAAGAATCAGTAAAAGGATTAAAATTTCTGAAACTGATGAATCTCACAGCAAGTTATTAAAAAAAAGTCTATCGCATATTAGAAAACCAGCGAAGCTAAAAAACTTCTTAACAGAACTGTCAAGAAACTGTTCACGAAAAACCAACATTCACGAAAAGCGTTTGACTAAGTTACAGGTTGAAGCACAAATTTGCAAAGCAACTACCAGATTTTTTTTAACTCTTTAAACCCTAAGAATGACCAGAAGCTAATTTCTCCCTACATTATAGTGCGAATCATTCATTAAGGTCATGAGAATATAAGAAATGGTCACCAACATTAGAAAACTGGATTACTAAACAAATTCTCCTTTCCAGTACCAAAGGAAATGAATTTATGGAGAATATCCATACTGATGCAAGGGTCTAAAGGGTCCAGTAACCAGCCTTAACTTTTCAACTGAATAATGTAACGGAATTTATAAAATTTTACTGCCTTTAGCATGGCGGTCGAGCTCAAAATTGAACAATCAAGGCAAGGTTAAAATACCAGCTGGGCTATTTTACATGAGACAAGTAGGGTACCAAACTCACCCTGTACTGGAGGACCTAATTATTAACTTTGGTGAGAAAATAAATTACCAAAAAAACGACAGCTTTGACATTGTAAGATACTTACCAAGAGTGGTATATCATTTCCTAAGATATACTTTTGATTTCCTGCCCCCTTCTTATTCAGCTGCGTCATTTTTAAAAGTGACAGCAGGCAGCCGGACACTTGCTGATGAATAAACACATTCCCAGAGAGTGGTGTAGAAAATGTTCTTGTCTGTGTTCTCAGTTTCTGACTACTTCCTAGTTTGTGTTTAGTGATGGTTCATGGGGATGCCTCTTTCATTCTGTGTTTCCCTTTGAAAACTCTTTTAAAACTCAAGCAACAACCACTGGTTTTACCAAATGGCGTAAAATACAGTGCTTATTACTGATTTACAATCTCCCGTTTGCACAGAATTCATTCTGTGTAATTGTAAGCTTGTTCCGTCAATGAGAAGGTTGTTTGAATGTATTCTATAGAAGTTTTCCTAAGACTACTGGATATTGCCGAGGTGCGATTTTTAAGAAAAATTTTAAAATCGAAGATACTTTTACGACATTTTTCACGATCACATTTTGCTTCAAATTTCGTTTTCCCTACAACGCTTTTGTTTATGTACCTTGTTTCATTAAAATGTCATTTCCAAACTTTAACGATATCA